AGTTTTTAATCAGCTTCAACTTCGAGAAACTCCTTTCGCAAGAAGCCACAGAAACACACATAGTAAGGAACAACCTCAGGCAGAGTGAGAGAGTTGGAAGAGATTCAATGAAATCCCATTCAGCTATGAATGTTAGTGCATCCAATGCAGTCCAGTGCTTAACTTTTTCAAGATCAACATCAGCAGCTTGCAGGTGCCTCCTTAGTCTTGGTATTTCAAACACGAGCTCATTCTTGCATATTTCATTATAGAAGACTGTGAGTCTTGAAGCCATCACCTCCAATTCTTCTTCAGTAGCTTGCACAAGATTCTTCGTCTGAATGACCCCAAACATGGCTGCCACATCCTTGCTTGCTTTTGATCGCATCTCAAGTTCATTATGAAAACGATCAATTCACTCCAGCATCTTCCTCTTGTTTCCTTCCTGTAGAGTGAGTGGAATCTCTTGCCTGCTCCCCTGCCCTTCCCTTTTCTTGAACCAATTCAGTGTCGGTCCTGTAATACTACAGCTTGAGAGCCAGTTTTGGTCCCATAGTACTACACCAAAATTCTAGTGCCTTCAAATCTGGTGGAAGAAAGCTGGTAGGCCTACATATGAAAGAATGGGTCTGCACGGTCAGTGTGCACAGTATAAAAAAAATCCTGCAGCTCACAGTGCATAATGAGAAAAAAATAACTGACCGTGTTTTTGGTTTAAAACGGCAACTTTGGGGTGCATTCTCATATAGTATTTATGGTTGTATTCTCATTTTCTTGGTCTCAGTTGATAGAATGGAAGATATATTGCAGAAATGGAGATGATTTTGATTGGTTTTACAATGAAAAGCACCCTGAAATTGAGCTCAAAGTAGCGGAAATGTTCGACTTTTGCTGATGTTAAAGAGTAAACAAATGACGTCACTGTCCAATACGTGTCCAACTGGCTAGTCTAATACATAGTCACGAATGGGTTGACATTATTTATACAATTATTATTATAATGCAGTAGTCTGCATAACAGTAAATCTTCTATTTTTTGTAAGAATAAAAATTCAAAATGGAAAGCAAGAGTAATATAAGAGGGGCCTGGAGGCATGACCAATGAACAGAGAAAATGTTATTTTAGTGTCAGGAATGTCTGTCTTGTTTATTCTGGACCCTATTCTGAAATTGGCATCTTTTGAAATTTGTGTGAAATTGGCCAAATTGCCAATTTCTCACCACTTTATTGGGTAATTGAAATTGGTAAGTGGGCAGTTTCTTGTACTCAGTTGATAGAACAAATGGAGTTCTAGCGAAATAGCTATGATTTTAGTAGACTGGAACAACAGAATTGGCCGAAAATAGGGCTCAAAGTGGGTGAAATCGCCAATGTGTAAATATCACCAATGCCTAAATATCGCCGAGAGCGCTAACTTCGCATGAGCGTAATTTCATAAGATTTCCATCAAATTTCGTACTTTTGGTGTCATTACCATCAGGAAAAGATTCTCTATCATTTCATAAGAAAATATATATATATATTTTTTTTTTTTTTGAAAGTTTTTCGACAGTGAGTTTAGGATCAGGGGTCACGACACTGAAAGAGTTAACTTGATTCTTCTTTTTGTTGGAAATCCATACTCCTCACGTTTCATAAATGCCTGTTGTATTGAATTCTCCATTATGCGATCTCGCCCTTTATACAGAAATAATCGCAGCGCCTCTAGCTTCACCACCACTTTGTCAAGAGTTAAATCCTTAGTCTGTAAGTACTGCTGTGCAAGCTGAAACTCCTGATGTATGTCACACCAGAAATACAGATAACACAAAAATGTGAAGTCGCACACAGCAGGGAGAAGACCTTGTGCTGCTCCTCTTGTGTCCAAATTTTCCTGTGGATCATCACTGCCACAAATTTCTCAAACAATTCCATTACTGGTTTCACTGCACTGTAATGAGAAGTCCATCTTGTTGTTGATAATCTTTTCAAAGAGACTGCAGTATTGTCCATTAATACATCCCATCAATGGGTAGAGGAGGCAGAGAATGTGTACACTGACTGAAGACTGCCAAAAAATTTCACACATGATGAAGTCTCAGCAAAAGAATGTTGACCACACAAGTTCAATTAATGGTCCACACAACCACTGAAAATTGCCTTCTTGTTCTTTTCCTTGAGAATGGCTTGTACACCTCCATGGACCCCAGCCATGGTGGCAACATTGTCATATCCCTGAGCACGGCACAGCATGAAGTCCAGTCCATCACTCTCCACCTTTTTCAGGATATCAGAACTGATATCAGCAGCTTTTTTGCCCTTCAAAGGGAAAAATTAACAAGAAAAACTCCCTTCGCTTGAACTCTTCCATCCTCCATTTGAATGTACGTACCTGATAACTTCTGACATTTAGTCAATGTGTGACACATCTGGTGTACTGTCAAACATAACGCTGTAGTGTACAGCTTTCATATCAGTAACAAGCTTCTCTTTGACTTGATTTGCCGGAACACTTAAAAACTCACTTTGAGTTGATGGTGAGAGATACAAAACTGATGACCTGTGTTCACTTGAGCTGCACTTCAGTCTTATTAGGTGCTCTTTAAGCACAGGAGCATACTTAGCCATCAATTCAACCATCTCAAGAAAGTTTTTTCTATTTGATGAGAATTTGTCCTCCCTGTGGACACAAAATACTAGGTTCTGTTTAGCCAGAAACAGTGTAATGTCGAGCAACCTGCACAATATTTCCCTCCTCCTTTTCTTTTGGATTTCCATTGAAACAATTATTTCTGCATCTATGGTTTTGTTCACCCTTAGAGCAGCTGCCATGGTTTTTCCAATTCTCTAGGCAACATAGGTATTTGTCAGAAATTTCATGATTGTGTACTTTTGGATTCAGCTTCCACCATATTTGAAACCCAGTCATAAACTTAGATGTTATACTTGTAACACTAGTGGTAAACAATCTACAGCAATAACAGTATAATTTTCCACTGACTAGCAAGTACACCACCTGTGATCGCAAAACTTTCTCCCCATTCGGCATCTTTTTCTAGAACCATTCTTTAGAAAGCTGACATTCATCCCCTTTTGCATTTTTCTCTTTATAGCATGAAAAGGACCATCCTTGTTCTGATAAACATAGCTACCTCTTTTGATGATTTCAACCTGGGAATGGTCTGGAACTGGAATTTTCCAAGAAGAAACATCACACATTTATGCTGTTTCAAACTCTCATTTCCTTCATTCCTCTCGCTTATATTACCATTGTTGGAGTCAGAATCGACATCAGTGTTATCAGTAGGATCATGACTAAATTCATTTGATGAACTCTGGCCATTATCAGGTTTCTTGTGATACTGAACTGTAGACCCAGCCATTTTTCTCATTAGCTGATTTTTTTCATTTTTTGCCTTCCTTTGTTGACATCCACTAGGCCTCTTTGATTTATACACTCCACGAGGCATGACATTACATCAGTGATCTGAAAAACGAATGCCAGGTTTACCGTTTTGGTTCTACTGAATATTCAGTAATTTTTAATGGTGACAAACAAATAAATGGGGCCAGTTCTATTATCCTACTGAGGATGAAATGAAGTTAGGAAAGGAAATAAGCGGGTTAGGTTTGGATGAAATTAAGACTAGCAAATAATAACTTGTTTCATGATTGCATTAATTTTTTCAATTGAACCTAATTTGGATATTTAACTCAGACTCTAACCATACTGAGGGCAAAGCAGAAAAAATTTAGCCTACTTACCACTGAAGTGGTGAAATAATCATAATTGTCATTATGGATGTAATACTAATGTGTACCATATTATATGGTAAGCTTCCTGGCCCTATAGGCTTTAGCCCACAAGGATTGGTAACAACAATGCATGGTTAAAACGTATATCGACATAAATACAGTAGGCTAAATATGCACATTGCATTAGATACATGGCACAGAACTTTACCAAAACAAATTTACTGAAAAAACTTGGCCTTGCCTTTGAACTTTTTATTAATTGCAAGTTTTCATATCTTGACTGGGAATGTGAATGTTCAAACTATCAAATTAAATCATTTGATCTGCCACAAACCCTATTCCTAAGCTAAATAAAATCCCTCAGTGATAACCGTAATATAATGATATAATGGGAAACTATTTCATCACAGTGAACCAGTTTATACTGAAAAGTTATAATATCATTAACATTGGCAGTTATGTACCAACGGTTATTTCAACATTTCATGAATTTCACTTCTCACCAGTTCATATATCTTGGCTCATGACATGATTGACATCACCAATAAGCAGAAGTAAAGCTCAGAATATAATAATTACCTGACCCTTTGTGTGTTTAACCCAGCCACATATACACCACCACCTGGACCAAACTCATTCATGGGTGGTGCAGCAAACACAGGATGTTACATCACTGATGACTGATCATAGTCATGGAAGGTGGACTAACGGTTTTTCCAAAATATCATAAATAAAATTATCGATTTATCATAGTTTTTCGTATAGCGTCATTGATTTTCTCTGTATAGGCTTATTTAAACTCTTTAATCATATAATAGGCTATATAGAAACAAAGGATTTTTCTCTTATGTTGCTGCAGCACTGTTTTGGGCATTAGTGTCACCTTCTTTAGAGGCTCTATGTTGTCGCCCGGGGTGCCCCCCCCTCCCTAGGATGCCACTGTTTCTATCTAACACGCTCACACATGCTTGCAGGAAGTCCAAGCTCCTCGCACACAAAACCTCCTTTAGCCCCTCCCTTCAGCCTTTCCTAGGCTGATCCCTACCCTGCATTTCGTCCAGTAATGCAATTTTCCTAATTTTTTTTTTTAACACTTCGGCCATCTCCCACCAAGGCAGGGTGACCCAGAAGAAAGAAAAACCCAAAAAGAAAGAAAAAACTTTCATTATTATTCAACACTTTCACCATCACTCACATGTAATCACTGTCTTTGCAGAGGCACCCAGATACGACAGTTTAGATAGTCACTCCAAACTGCCAATATCTTTATTTTAATGCATTACAGGGTGCTAAATCATTGGTGCCTCTCCTGGAGATTGCCAAGAGCCGTATTCCTCGCCAGAGTTGGGCTTCCACTCCCTTGGTCTTGAAAGCTACAGCAGGACTCAGACTCTTACCCGTTGAAAAGGCTGATGCACTTTTAATGGAGGTTTGTACTACTCTGTGGTGTTTCCTGTAAGTGGACATGCTTTGGATATATGTATATTAATCTGTCATTCCTGTTATCTCTAATAATTTCAGGAACCATCATCTCCATGACCATGGCCTAGACCAGACTTCATAAGTTACAAAGGCAACAAGAACTACAGTACTACTAAGAATAAGAATGATTAAGAAACACAGGATACCAGTGCTAAGTGTATACTGAATGTCAATAGTTGTTTGTAAAATTTTCCTCTTCATCTTCCTAGTTCATGAGATAAAGAAAAGAACAGCAGTCCTGCCAGACTTATAAGAAAAATCTTTGGTCTCTCATTGCCTGGATGTTGATTAACTGTTGTGAGTCATATCCTGGGCAAGAGGATCAAAGGAACCCAATGGAAATAAGCCACACTGCTTGGCTTGGGTTATCCTGGGTTACTGCTAACCCTCCAGGTTAATAATCCAAATCAAAGCTTTTTAATAATAGTAAATCCTCAATTTAATGGACTAAGAGGGAGAAGTAGGTGGCTGGTAATGGAATTGTTTTGGATAGAGATGAAATTGTTTTGCCATGATCGTAACAACAATGAACATTAACCCTTTCAGGGTCGACAGGCCCTCTCAGAGACTTGTTCTCAGGGTCAGCCAAATTTCAAAAAAAAAAAAAAAAAAATTTTCTTATGAAAAGATAGAGAATCTTTTCCCGATCATAATAACACCAAAAGTATGAAATTTGATGGAAAACTTACGGAATTATGCTCTCACGAAGTTAGCGGTCTCGACGATGTTTACGCATTGGCGATTTTGCTCAATTTGAGCCCTATTTTTGGCCAATTCCAATGTACTTGTCGACAAAAATCATAACTATTTCGCTAGAACTCCATTTTTTCTATCGAATGAGTACAAGAAACCACCCATTTACCGATTTCAACTATCCAGTACAGTGGTCAGAATTTAGCAATTTTGCCAATTTCACTCAAATTTCAAAAGATGCCAATTTCCAAATAGGGTCCAGAATAAACAAGAAAGACATTCCTGGCACTAAAATAACATTTCCTCTGTTCATTAATCATGTCCCCATGCCCCTCTTACATTCTTTTGCTTTCCACTTTGAATTTTTATTCTCACAAAAAAATAGAAGATTTACTGTTATGCAGACTACTGCATTGGTGTAGAAATGGTATAAATATTATCAGCGCACTTGTGAAAGAATATTAGATTCACCAGTTGACGTGTATTGGACACACAGCATGATTTGTTTACTTTTGAACTTTGGTAAAAATCTAACATTTCAGCTACTTTGAGCGCAATTTCAAGGTAGTTTTCTTTGTAAAACCAGTCTCAATTTCTGCAATGTCTTCCATTCTATAAAATGAGACCAGGAAAACTAGAATACAACAATAAATACCATACGAAAATACAGTGCAAAGTCGCTGTTTTAATCCAAAAACACGGTCAAAGTTTTTTTTTTCTCATTACGCACTGTGTGCTGCAGGATTTTTTTTATACCACGCACACTGACCACATAGACCCATTCTTTCATATGTAGGCCTACCAGCTTTCTCTTACTAGATTTGAGGGCGCTAGAATTTAGGCGTACTAGTACGTCAAAAACCCTGGGTCGTAAGCCATACTAGTACGGCCGAAACCCTGAAAGGGTTAATGTAACAATGGACTTTGTCCATTGTTTTATGTAAACAGTGAACTTTGTCCATTGTTTCTGTAAAGAGTGAACTTTGTCTATTATTTCTGTAAACAGTGAACTTTGTCCATTGTTTTTGTAAACAGTGAACTTTGTCCATTGTTTTTGTAAACAGTGAACTTTGTCCATTGTTTTTGTAAACAGTGAACTTTGTCCATTGTTTTTGTAAACAGTGAACTTTGTCCATTGTTTTTGTAAACAGTGAACTTTGTCTATTGTTTCTAAATCATTTAGCCCAGCATATATACAGAGTCTGTTAAATTGAAGATTTTTTCACTTTTTTTTTAACACATTGGCCATCTCCCACCAAGGCAGGGTGACCCAAAAAAAGAAAGAACACTTTCACCATCATTCACACATAATCACTGTCTTTGCAGAGGAACCCAGGGTATGACAGTTTAGATGTCACTCCAAACAGCCAATATCCCAAACCCCTCCTTGAAAGTGCAGGCATTGTACATCCCACCTCCAGGACTTAAGTCTGGCTAACCAGTTTTCCTGAATCCCTTCACAAAATATTACCTTGCTCACATTCCAACAGCTCATCAGGTCTCAAAAACCATTTGTACACTAAGAGAAAATACCGTAAGTGTCCGGGGTCCAAGACTGTTCAACAGCCTCCCACCATACATAGGGGGAATTACCAGTAGGCCCCTGACTGCCTTCGAGAGGGAGTTGGACAGATACTTAAAGTCGGTGCCGGATCAGCTGGGCTGTGGTTCGAATGTTGGACTATGTGCAGCCAGCAGTAACAGCCTGGTTGATCAGGCCCTGATCCACTGGGAGGCCTGGTTGTGGATTGGGCTGCAGGGGCATTGATCCCCGGAATACCCTCCAGGTAGTCTCCAGGTAGTAGGTTGGTAGACAGCAGCCACCCAGGGAGGTACTACTGTCCTGCCAAATGAGTGTAAGACAGAAACCTGTATTTGTTTTACATGATGGTAGGATTGCTGATGTCATTATTTGTTTGATAAACACACAAGATAACAGGTATTTCTTGCTACTTTTACTTACAATTAGGTCACACTACACATGTATGTAGACATTTATGTATACACACTCATCTGAGTTTTCTTTGTTTTTTCTTAATATTTCTTATTCTTATTATTTTTCTTTCATATCCATGAGGAAGTGGATTAAGAATTTTTCCTCCGTAAGCCATGTGTGTTGTAAGAGTCAACTAAAATGCCAGGAACAGTGGGCGAGTAACCCCTTTTCCCGTACAACTTACTAAAAATAAAACAAAGAAAACTTTTAAATTGAGGATATACTGAAAGAAAGAAAAAAATTCCGTATATATTATTTTTGTTATTTGTTTATTATAGGAAGACCTTGCCAGAGTAAATTTTTATTTAGACCTCATGCATAATTTTATGCTTTTACAATGGCTTGTTATGGTAAATTATGGAGAATTTACTCTAATATACTCAGATAAAGTCAAGCAATGTGAAATTTTTAGTGGGTCCCTGTAAGGAGTGGTGAAGCATAGAGGAGTGCTTTGTACAGTTCATTATACTAAATAAATTTTGATAATTTCATGGTTTATTAGGGTTGTGATAAAGACTATAACAATATCACTATTAAAACTACAGTACATGTAGTATATAAAATTATTGATTTGTAAATGATGTTTTTGCTCACAACTCACATGGTGATGTATTGTTCAGGTTCTGTTGTTTAAGTAATTTGGTGAGTTTTTTTTGAATAGCTTTATAGAATTTTGCCTATGTTTGAGGTATTACATGCTGGATTAGTGATGGTCAACCTATAAGTTGGCCCATAATGCCTGGGCATAATAGAGGCTCTCTCTGCATTGCAACCCACTATTGTATATACACAATCTCAATGTATTGTTTGCAAAGACATTAAATAAATAAATAAATAGTAAAAAAATTTCCCTTGTTCAGGTAAAGAAGTTGCTTGCCTCATCTGGGTTTCACACAACAGAAAATTCAGTAGGCATCATGGACGGGCGCGATGAAGGAATCTTCTCCTGGTTCACTGTTAATTATCTCATGGGTAAGTGTTTCCCTAATAATTACTTGAATTTACAGTAAACCCTCTATTTAACAGACTAACTGGGGAGAATTGGGTGGACAGTAATGACAGTTGTGGTGGATAGAGAAAAGATTGTTTTGCTGTGATTGTACCGATAAACTTTGTCCATTGTTTCCAAATCTCTGTATTTAATGGCTTCTGTTTTGTATGGCTGCACTTGAACTGTCACCCATTATTGCAACAATGTTTAACAAATCTATAGCATCCTCAACCTTGCCATCTATTCTCAAGACAGCAAGGGTCACCCCAATCCACAAAGGAGGTGACCCAGCTGATTTGAGTAACTATAGACCCATATCAAACTTGCCCTTACTTTCCAAGATATTTGAAAAAATAATACACAAGCGACTTTACTCCTACCTTACATCCAACAATATACTTAACCCATGCTAGTTTGGGTTTAAACCAAAAAAAAAGTACAAATGACGCTATTATACAGATGCTTGAACTGATATACACAGCTCTCGATAAAAAGTAATATCCTCTGGGGCTCTTTATCGACCTATGAAAAGCATTCGACACAGTTGACCACAATCTCTTGCACCTCAAACTGAATCATTATGGCATCAGAGGACATTCTCTTAACTACCTAAAATCCTATCTTAACAACAGACACCAGTATGTACATGCAAATGGAGTCAACTCCACTATCCAACCTGTAGCTGTAGAAGTATCCCAGGGTAGTGTCCTAGGCCCACTCCTCTTTCTCATCTACATCAATGATCTCCCCAATGCATCCCAACTCCTTAAACCAGTTCTTTTTGCAGATGACACTACATATGTCTACTCCCATTCAGACCCAGGTGTGCTTGGAAACACTGTAAACAATGAACTGCTAAAGATATATGCTTGGATGATGACCAACAAACTCATTCTCATGGGCCAGTAGGCCTTCTGCAGTGTTCCTCCATTCTTATAGACAAAACATACTTCATGCTGTTTTACAACAGAGCCTCAAATATCCAACTTAACATATTGTTAAATGGTTCCTCTATATCAAGACACACACGGAAAATTTCTAGGTCTTCTCCTTGACTATAATCTTAAATTTCAGTCTCATACCCATCACATAGCCAAGAAAATTACCAAGTCAGTAGGAATCTTTTCCAAGATATGATACTATGTACCACAAACGACTCTCCTTACCCTGTACCACTCTATAATATATCCTTACCTCACCTATTGTATTTGTGCCTGGGGCTCAACCACAGCCAACCACCTTAGACCCTTAATAATCCAACAAAATGCTGCTGTGCGGGTGATAACCAGCTCCTGTGCTAGACAGCACACCCCACCACTTTTCAAAAGACTCAACTTGCTAAATATACAAAACATACACTCTTTTTATTGTGCCTACTACATATACAGAACATTACACTCCACTGTAAACCCTCTCCCTAAAACTACTCCTTGACAGTTACAACAGAATGCACAGTCACAATACAAGGCATAAGGCACTTTTCATCATCCCTCGAGTCAGTCTCTCACTATGCAAGAACACTATGCACATAAAAGGCCCGAAGATCTGGAACTCGCTACTGGAACAGGTCAAGGATCCCCTGACAACTTATAAATTTAGGACTTTGCTAAAAAATCATTTTTTTTTCTTCAATAAACCGGCCGTATCCCACCAAGGCAGGGTGGCCCAAAAAGAAAAACGAAAGTTTCTCTTTTTAAATTTAGTAATTTATACGGGAGAATGGGTTACTAGTCCCTTGCTCCCGGCATTTTAGTCGCCTCTTACAACACACATGGCTTACGGAGGAAGAATTCTGTTCCACTTCCCCATGGAGATAAGAGGAAATAAACAAGAACAAGAACTAGAAAGAAAATAGAAGAAAACCCAGAGGGGTGTGTATATATATGCTTGTACATGTATGTGTAGTGTGACCTAAGTGTAAGTAGAAGTAGCAAGACGTACCTGAAATCTTGCATATTTATGAGACAGACAAAAGACACCAGCAGTCCTACCATCATGTAAAACAATTACAGGCTTTTGTTTCACACTCACTTGGCAGGACGGTAGTACTCCCCTGGGTGGTTGCTGTCTACCAACCTACTACCTATAAAAAAAAAATCATCTAATCTCACAATATTAACCAAATCAACCAAAATATCTGCTAACTAGTTTTATTATGTGACCTCTAGGCTCTTAATTCTGCCAATCCATAAAATCATCTTATTTCTCAATGTTAACCAAATCGGCCAAAACGTCTGCTAATTAGTCTTATTATGTGACCTCCTGGCTTTTATTTCTGCCATTCCATAAAATATTACCATCTGCACTACTACTTGTAAGGTAGATTTTGTGTGCAATTTCAAGCTTATTTTTACAGAACCCTACTCACTTGTATTAAGTTTAACCCCTTGACTGTCGCAACCCCCAATCCTGAGGTGTCTCCTGGTGTCACAAAATTTAAAAAAAAAAAAAAAAAAAATTTCTTATGAAATGATAGAGAATCTTTTCCCGATTGTAATGACACCAAAAAAAAAACGAAATTTGATGGAAAACTAACAGAATTACGCTCTCACGAAGTTAGCGACCTCGACTATATTTACAAATCGGCAATTTCGCCCACTTCGAGCCCTGTTTTCGGCTAATTCCATTGTTCCAGTCGACCAAACTCATAGCTATTTCTTTAGAACTCCATTTTTTCTATCGATTGAGTACAAGAAACTGCCCATTTACCAATTTCAATTACCCAATAACGTGGTCAGAAATTTGCAGTTTGGCCAATTTCATGAAAATTAAAAAATATGACAATTTCAAAATAAGGATCAGAATGAACAATGCAGACATTCCTGGCTCTAAAATAACATTTTCTTTGTTCATCAGTCATGTCTTCAGGCCCCTCTGATATTTCTCTTGCTTTCTATTTTGAATTTTTATTCAAACAAAAAAAAGAAGATTTACTATTATGCAGACTACTGCAATACTGTAATAATTGTATAAATAACATCAACCCATTCATGACTGCATATTAGAATGTCTAGTTGGACATTTATTGGACAATGACAGCATTTGTTTACTTTTGAACATCGGCAAAAATCAAACATTTCCCCTACTTTGAGCTCCATTTCCAGGTTCTTTTTATAGTAAAATCAATCAAAATCACCTCTATTTCTATAATATGTTCTCCATTCTATCAAATGAGATCAAGAAAACGAGAATACAACCATAAATACTATACGAAAATAGACCACAAAGTCAGCATTTTAATTAAACAAAAAGGTCGGAGTTTTTTTTTTTTCTCATTATGCACTGCATGCTCCAGGATTTTTTTTATATAGTGCACACTGACCACACAGACCCATTCTCTCACATGTGGGCCTACCAGCTTTCTCCTGCTTGATTTGAAGCCGCTAGAATTTATGAGTATATATACGTCAAACATGGTACCTCGTAAGACGTATATATACGGCCGCGACTGTCAAAGGGTTAAGTAAGATTGTAAAAACAGCTAACCACTATTACTTGTCTAGTTTTAAGTATATCTACTATGTACTATTATCTTATCTAGTTTTAATTAGTTACTATGTATTAGGATTAGTTTGCCCGAAATGCCTGGGCATGATAGTGGCTATCTTTGTACTTAGCAAATCAAAATTGTAATTACACATTGTAACCTTTACAAAGAAATAAACTTTACTTTACTTTACATTAAATGGAGGGTTTCCTGTATATTTTTTATTTTAATCAGAGAAACATGCTAATCCCACTGGTCATATGGGGTATGGGAGACAAGGGGTATGGGGAATGGGAGACAAGGGGTTATGGGGAATGGGAGACAAGGGGATATGGGGAATGGGAGACAAGGGGTATGGGGAATGGGAGACAAGAGGTTATGGGGAATGGGAGACAAGGGGATATGGGGAATGGGAGACAAGGGGATATGGGGAATGGGAGACAAGGGGAATATGGGGAATGGGAGAGGAGAGGAGGGGATATGGGGAATGGGAGACGAGGGAATATTGGGGAATGGGAGATGAGGGGATATGGGAAATGGGAGACAAGGGGATATTGGGAATGGGAGACGAGGGGATATGGGGAATGGGAGACGAGGGAATATGGGGAATGGGAGAGGAGGGGATATGGGGAATGGGAGACAAGGGAATATGGGTAATGAGAGAGGAGGGGATATGGGGAATGGGAGATGAGGAGATATGGGGAATGGGAGACGAGGGAATATTGGGGAATGGGAGATGAGGGGATATGGGAAATGGGAGACAAGGGGATTTGGGAATGGGAGACGAGGGGATATGGGGAATGGGGAGCGAGGGAATATGGGGAATGGGAGAGGAGGGGATATGGGGAATGGGAGATGAGGAGATATGGGGAATGGGAGACGAGGGGTTATGGGGAATGGGAGAGGAGGGGATATGGGGAATGGGAGATGGGGGATATTGGGAATGGGAGACGAGGGGTTATGGGGAATGGGAGAGGAGGGGATATGGGGAATGGGAGATGAGGGGATATGGGAAATGGGAGACAAGGGGATATTGGGAATGGGAGACGAGGGGATATGGGGAATGGGAGACGAGGGAATATGGGGAATGGGAGAGGAGGGGATATGGGGAATGGGAGATGAGGAGATATGGGGAATGGGAGACGAGGGAATATTGGGGAATGGGAGATGAGGGGATATGGGAAATGGGAGATGAGGGGATATTGGGGAATGGGAGATGAGGGGATATGGGAAATGGGAGACGAGGGGATATTGGGAATGGGAGACGAGGGGATATGGGGAATGGGAGACGAGGGGATATGGGGAATGGGAGACGAGGGAATATGGGGAATGGGAAACATTCAATTTCAACCCAAGGAAGGGGAGGATATCCAGGTCCTTGGATCAAGAGTCCCCTGACTGGTACCTATTTGAAGTTACAGGGATAGAACTATTCTAGTGGTATCCCATTTTCAGTATCTAACCTATTGCAAAGTGTTTAAAGTTTTGTATGTTAGCAGCATTTACTATAGTACCTCATCTAAACTACTCCATTGTGAATATTACTCTCCATCATAGTGGAAAACAGAGTAATTATGATATTGATTTTTTTTACTGTTATGAATATTAATGCTGAACTGAAAAACATAATTGACATTTTGTTGGAATAATAAATATCACTTAAATAATATATGATGTAAAGGTGATACAAGCATTTGCAAGAGATGGACAGTGAAATGTTAATTACAGAAATAGATTGTAATGAAGAGTTGATCAGCAGGATAGGTGTTAGAACCTACTTTCGAGATAGGACAATGACAGATAGTGCAACAATACCTAAGATTATGGATATTGAGGAAGATGTAAAATAAAGATGAAGGGGCAACCAAAAGAATGAGTGGAAACAAATTTGGAAAAATGGTGTATGCTGCAAAGATATTATCAGGAAGTTAATCAATGGTATGATAGCATTGTAAATCAGATTTCAGTTTATTGATAGGTGTGCATATCTTGAAACTAAGAATGTCACTGTATTGTGAGGGATAACATCGTGTAAAGTGTCCCGAGGACCAGACCCTCAAAGACTTAATAAATTTCTTCTTTTATAGATTTTATTAGTAGTATGGTGAGACTGCTTGATGCAAGATAGTTACAGGAAATTATGAGAATAATGTAGAGATAAAAGTAGTTAGTTTGTATGTTCCAGTAATAGTATAAACATGTGTAAAGCTGGTTATACTTTTTATTGTTGTTTTCTGTAAAAACAACTTATTACTCATTAGATAATAAAGTAGGAATATAACTTGTTTGTAAGTTGAGGACCTCCTGACTCTGCAGCTTGTAGCAGTGTAGTTATGTTCTGAGATGATAATACGGTAAAAGTGACCTGAGCACCTTCTGCAGATCGTGTTAGTGGTGACCCTCGGGAGACTTTAGTGGCCCTTGACCTGGGAGGTGGATCCACTCAAATTACCTTTGTACCTGTAGAGGATGAAACTGTGAAGAAAACCCCTGAAGATTACCTCACATCCATCTCGCTCCTTCATAAAAATCTTAATCTCTATACACATAGGTACTGAACATCACCTTCACTGTTACCATTAAAGATTACAAGTTGCAACTGTTTCATAATATGATAACCAAACTAACTTACGTTTATTTCTTTACCAATGATTTTAAGTGCTTTTTTTCAGTCTCAACTCTTAACAGTGATTTAAATATGTAGGGCAGAATCTACATGAGGCAGATATCTCAAGGAAGGGAAGTTTCCAAATGGAACAGGCACAAGATGCCTGTGTCTATTCCATATACAATCCTTGGGTTTCACTTTCCATGATGTAGTTTATTTATAGATCACTTTATACTACTCAACACGACTCTCACATTTTCCTTACACTTTTATTTATTAGTTTTTCATCCTCATATATTAAAGGCATGTCTTTGATAATTAATTCCAACATTTTCAACTACTTTTTATTTATTTCTCCCCATTTGCTATTATTTGATAAGCATAAACACATCATCATAAACACTTAATAGTTTTTGTGATAAATATTTAGAAATATTTTCTCTTTCTCAAGTTACTTGGGATTAGGATTAATGGCTGCCCGCCAGGCTGTTCTCCTTCAGCACAAGGGAGAAGATGGCATCATTCGCTCACCCTGCATTAACCCTATCATTGACCACCAGTGGACTTATGGAGGAGAAACTTATACAGTAAGGTTAGTAGTTTCTCTTTCTCTGAATATGGTTCCTTTGAAGACTAATAAATTCATACAAATTATATTTTTAGTAGAATTTGTGTACTCACCTAGTTGTACTCGCCTAGTTGAGGTTAGAGGGGTCGAGTCCAAGCTCCTGGCCCCGCCTCTTCACTGGTTGCTACTAGGTCACTCTCCCTGAACCGTGAGCTTTATCTTACCTCTGCTTAAAGCTATGTATGGATCCTGCCTCCACTACATCACTTCCCAAACTATTCCACTTCCTGACTACTCTGTGGCTGAAGAAATACTTCTTAACATCCCTGTGATTCATCTGTGTCTTCAACTTCCAATTGTGTTCCCTTGTTGCTGTGCCCCATCTCTGGAACATCCTGTCTTTGTCCACCTTGTCAATTCCTCTCAGTATTTTGTATGTCGTTAAAATGTCCCCCCTATCTCTCCTGTCCTCCAGTGTCGTCAGGTTGATTTCCCTTAACCTCTCCTCGTAGGACATACCTCTTAGCTCTGGGACTAGTCTTGTTGCAAATCTTTGCACTTTCTCTAGTTTCTTTACGTGCTTGACTAGGTACACTCTCACTCACTCACACTCACTCTCTCACTCTCTCTCTCACTCTCACTCTCTCACTCTTGCTCACTCTCTCACTCTCTCACTCTCACTCACTCTCTCTCTCTCTCTCTCTGTCATTTTTTTTTTTTTTTTTTTACACAGGGTTTGACAAGGTTAAGGATCCCTAGCTTTATTGACAAGCTATTTACAGGTTAAGGATTCCTAACTTTATTGGCAAGCTGTTACCTACATCAGCTCAGTTGAAAGCATTTTTATTGTTATGAGACATACAAGTAGGGAACTGGATGAAGTTGGAGCCATCTGTGGGTCAGCATTTTCATTTGATCAACTGACTTTATCTCATTGACATCATTATGCTGTACGAATGTGTTCCATACTCGAGTCATCCTGGGTATATATGATCTCAGATGGAGTGATGTTCTGGAGAAGGGTACAGCCAGAGTGAAGTTGCTGCTTTCTGCCCGTCTTGTGGCATAAAAGCTTGTTTCTCGCTGTCCTTGAAGTGGATCCAAGTGTGGTATTTTGACAATATTGGCCTTGTACATAACAGTAAGGCCACCCACATCCCTCCTATGTTGAAGGCTCTGCTGAAATGACAGATCTATCCAGGATGGGTCCAGGCGAGAGATGAGACGTCTTGCTCTGTTCTCTACTCTGTCAAGCAGTCGCAGATGAGAAGGGAGGCAGGCAAACCAAGAAAGTGGAGCATACTCAAGGTGTGAGCGTACTTGTGCCTCGTACAGGATCTTGCAACCCCTACTGTCAAGCAGATGCGAGATATGGCAAAGTGCTGTAAGCTTTCTGGCTGCCTTGTTTGCAAGATTTACAACATGGTTCTTCATGGTTAGTTTGGAGTCAAATTTCACCCCAAGGATATCAACTTCTTCTCCAGGTGCCAACACCCTTCCATTCATCCTTACTACTGCACCAGCATTACCATCATGGTGCCTAGAGACGATCATCATTTGCGTTTTCTCAGGTGCAAATGTTACTTGCCATCTATTTCCCCAAGCTGATATAGCTCTCAGCTGGTGATTGATGTAGCTTAGAGCAGCTGGCATTTCTTCTCTTGGATAAGTGAATGTCAGTGTACAGTCGTCTGCATATGCATGTGATTCTGGGATGAGATGAAGAAAGTCGTTGAAGTAGACATTCCATAACAATGGACCCAGCACGCTTCCTTGTGGAACACTTGCCCCAATAGGATGTCTTGCTGATTCCGTTCCATTGAGAACTACACTTAGAGACGATCCAACGTAGCCGAGGGGTTGACAAGTGACTATGCCTTCTGCCAGATCACTCACTACTGGGTCAAGGGAGGAGCCAGAGATATGAGTAGGGAAATCAACAAAGTTTCTCATGTCAAGCACTGCAAGAAGGTTATCAAAGTCCCTCTGTATAAGGTGCTGGTTGAGGTCACCAACAATTATAATATGTTGACAGTTGTGTTGTAGCAGAAGGGAGTCAATATTTTCCATTAGGAAGTTGATGGGGTCTGCATGTTGCCACTAGGTCTGTACAGTGCACATGCTATACAGGGTACAAGTTTATACAGAGCTTGAAGAACTCATTCAAGATTGTAGGGGTAGCACATCAATTTGCTGGCATGAACACTTTTAGAGAAGCACACAGCAACATCCTCCTCTTCCTCCTTGCCTGTCTCTTCTCCATGAGGTTGTAGCCAGCAATTCTTGCAAAAGTTCTGGTTCTGAGTCCTGTTCAAAACTATCAGTGTGTGGGTCAACAAACTTTTGCTGCTCAACATTTGAAGCACACACTAAGTTGCCGCTCTGTCCTCTCATATGAAGTGTACCTCAATTCTTGCAAAATTTCTGATCTGCTCCTCATTGTGTCCCTCTTCTCACTCTCTCTCTCAACTTCTTCTCTCTCTCTCTCCTCTCTCTTCGTCTCTTCTCTCTCTCTCTATGTTCTCTCTGTCTCTCTGTCTCTCTCTCTCTTCTCTTCTCTCTCTCTCCTCTCTCTCTCTCTCTCTCTCTCTCTCTCTGTCTCTCTCTCTCTCTGTCTCTCTTCTTCTCTCTGTCTCTCTGTCTCTCTCTCTCTCTGTCCTCTCTCTCTCTCTCTCTCTCTCTCTCTCTCTTCTCTCGTCCTCTCTTCTCTCTCTGTCTCTCTTCTCTCTCTGTCTCTCTCTCTCTTCTTCTCTTCTCTCTCTGTCTCTCTCTCTCTCTGTCTCTCTCTCTCTCTGTCTCTCTCTCTGTCTCTCTCTCTCTCTGTCTCTCTCTCTCTCTCTCTCTCCTTCTCTCTCTCTCTCTCTCTCTCTCTCTCTCTCTCTCTGTGTCTGTCTTCTCGTCTGTCTGTCTCTCTCTGTCTCTCTGTCTCTCTGTCTCTCTTCTCTCTCTCTCTCTCTCTCTCTCTCTCTGTGTCTGTCTCTCTCTCTCTCTCTCTCTTCTTCTCTCTGTGTCTGTCTCTCTCTCTCTCTCTCTCTCTCTCTCTCTCTCTTCTCTTCTCTTCTGTCTGTCTGTCGTCTCTGTCTGTCTCTCTCTCTCTCTCCTCTCTCTCTCTCTCTCTCTCTCTCTCTCTCTCTCTCTCTCTCTCTCTCTGAATATTTGATACTTAGTATATTGTGTTTACTACTATCATTTTCTCTTGCTCTTTTTATCTTACTCTCATCTTGGTTTTATTTGCTCTTCTTTTTTCTTTCTCTCATTTACACTGTTCTTCATGCCTTATGATCTGATTAGCTGACATATTAAGAAGACTACACATAGTGTGTCTTCAGGTAAACTCAGAAGTGTGTCATGGAGAAGTCAGTGATATGGGTAGGAAAGTCAGAGCTTTTCAGATAAACAGTGGCAGAGAACAAACAAAATATCTGTATGAGGTATTAGTAGAGAGAAACACTTAGAATGTGTAATAGATATATTCCTGTAGTAGTTAGTCTGTTTCTTACTAGAAGGCCAGTTGGGTCTGCACTCGGTCATGGTGGGCTGTACGTTACACACAGTAATATGCAACGTACAGTAGTAACTATAGCTGTATCAATGAGCTGGTTGTGTGCAGATTTACCAAAGCATACAGTAATACCTGTGCCATAACGCTACCTCTCATTTAGCATCCATGTGCAGGCAACACACTGAGTGTTGACAGAGTTGTGCCTAGAATAACCAACATTAATAATGAACTCAAATGTGGGTAGACACTGGCTAAGATTCCCATCATTTGCTCATCTGTTTTCTTTATATGTTTAACAGATTTGTCCTTAACTATACTGTTAAATTTTAGTTCCTTAATTATATAAAAAGAAAAAGTGAGGAGGGTGTAGAGAATGGCTATAAAGCTTTCGTTATAATTATTTCTTAAATATCATTCAAACTTATCATAGCCTTACCTCATCTTGCTAGATAGAAGTGAAGATAGGCAATGTTTGTCCTTTGCAGATAATCTGAACATAAACGGTAAGATCATTCACGTATCATTCTCATGTACTCTCTTCTCTATAAGTCGTTGTTACATTTAAATTCTCCATGGGGAAGTGGAACAGAATTCTTCCTCCGTAAGCCATGCGTGTTGTAAGAGGCAACTAAAATGCCTGGAGCTAGGGGCTAGTAACCCCTTCCCCTTTATATATTACTAAATTTAAAAAGAGAAACTTTTGTTTTTCTTTTTGGGTTACCCTGCCTTGGTGGGATATGGCCAGTTTGATGAAAAAAAAATTTAATTGAATATCAATATAAATTTTGATTGCCTTTTCAGAGGCCCAGAAGAAGCCAAATATCAGGAAGTTCGTGGACAAGCAGGCCGTTTAAGTGAGAACCGTCCAATTGCTGATCATGAGGCTTGTGTAAAAGCTTGTGCTCAAGTGATAAGTAATAAGGTACTGTACTGATGTAATGTGAAATATTTATTTTCTTGCCTCTTTTTTTTTATAGGGAGGTGCTAAACCCATAGGGGTCACACAACACATGGGTAATGGGTGTTAGTCGTGTTTAATCCAAGGAAGTTAAAGATAGCTCCAATCCCCTGGATCCAAAGTCAGTTGATTTGGAAATAGTGGACAAAATCCATTGTTTGCAGAATTGTCCATTATTGTTACAGTCATGGCACAGTAATTTCATCTTTACCACCGTTATGTTGATTTTCCTGTTACATTAGTTTAAGGTCCTTCTCACTATATGATCTGATCTAGGGTAGCTTACTAATACCCAAAAGGTCTAGGGAAATACTTAGTTATGAGAAGTCAGTCTCATCCTCTGAAACTAACCTGACTTCAGTTCTGACAATGGGTTACTTAAACCACTAGTATACAAACATAAGTATTTACAGCAAATACATACAACAATAGTCTGGCTCAGGCCTCACTTTAACCCTTTGAGGGTCGACAGGCCCTCTCCGAAATTCGTTCTCAGGGTCGGCCAAATTTAAAAAAAAAAAAAATTATTTTCTCTTATGAAAAGATAGAGAATCTTTTCCCGATCATAACGACACCAAAAGTTTGAAATTTGATAGAAAACTTACGGAATTATGCTCTCGCAAAGTTAGCGGTCTCGGCGATGTTTACGGATCGGCGATTTTGCCCACTTTGAGCCCCATTTTCGGCCAATTTCACTGTACTAGTCGACAAAAAACATGAATATTTCGCTAGAACTCCATTTTTTCTATCGAATGGGTGCAAGAAACCACCCATTTATAAATTCAACTATCCAGTACAGTGGTCAGAATTTAGCAATTTTGCCAATTTCACACAAATTTCAAAAGATGCCAATTTCGGAATAGGGTCCAGAATAAACAAGAAAGACATTCCTGGCACTAAAATGACATTTCCTCTAGTCATTAGTCACGTCTCAAGGTCCCTCTTATATTCTTTTGCTTTCCACTTTGAATTTTTATTCTCACAAAAAATATAAGATTTACTGTTATGCAGACTACTGCATTAGTGTAAAAAATGGTATAAATATTATTGGTGCACTTGTGAAAGAATATTAGACTCACCAGTTGACGTGTATTGCACGCTTGGCACGATTTGTTTACTTTTGAAGTTTGGTAAAAATCGAACATTTCTGCTACTTTGAGCTCAATTTCAAGGCACCTTTCATTGTAAAACCAGTCAAAATCATCTCAATTTCAGTAATATGTCTTCCATTCTATAAAATGAGACCAAGAAAACTAGAATACAACAATAAATACCATACGAAAATACACTGCAAAGTCGCTGATTTATTAAAAAAAAATGGAAAAAGTTTTTTTTTTCTCATTATGCACTGTGTGCTGCAGAATTTTTTTTAGACTGTGCACACTGACCACATAGACCCATTCTTTCATATGAAGGCCTACCAGCTTTCTCCCACTAGATTTGAGGTCACTAGAATTTATGAGTACTAGTACGTCAAAAACCCCTACGCGTAAGACGTACTAGTACGACGAAAACCCTCAAAGGGTTAACAAAGAGTACACAGCCTTCTAGCATAGGACTCTGCCGCTCCTCTTACAGCTGCTTTAAATAAGATATTACAAGGACCCCAATAGAAATAAATCACTGACTTTTTGGGTTATCCTAGGTAATTTACACATTCTGCTATGTAGGATAATTGTACTTATGTGTATCTGTACCAAAATAAAGAACAAAAAGGCCACAATGCTGTGACAGGAACAATACACAAATGATAACCTGCACATAGGAGAGAGAAGCTTATGGTGACGTTTCGGTCCAACCTGGACCACTGACTAGTCACACTAACACACGAAGATAAGGGAGCCAGTATATATACAAGAAGAGGACAGAGAGAGGAAGAAAAAAAGGAAGTGGAGAAGTAGTGGTAGAAGTAATTCTGGTAGTGGAAGTTGTAACAGAAGTAGTAGTGGTAGGGGGAGTAGTGGAGTGGCACAAAAGACCGAAACATTGTCATAAGTTTCTTTCTTCTATCTGCGGATTATTTGTTTATTGTACCTAAATAAACTTATACAAGTATGGGCCTCAGTCACACGATAACCCATCTTGAAAACAATTACTCCATATTTCCTTGCTGGTCATTTAACCCAGTGTTTTGATACACTGTGGCAACCCTGTTATTGTTAGGACATTACAACTTTGTTATAGGTCTTACCTCCTGGGCAACCCACATTTTGCCCAGTCAGGTCAACACAAGAGTGAGACTGACCTAGCCTGCTTTACCCTCACACAACAAACAAGAGAGCATGGCCATGCACAGTAATTCTGAACTAATGCATTAATACTAAGCTTGCTCGAAATGCTCTGCATAACTATGGGCTTTCTGCATGCACAGCTAAATGTCACTCATCTCTGTACAAACATTGTAGCATGCTGAATTAAAATATTATTTTTATTATTATTATTTTTCTCCCATAGCACTTATGCCTTTAAAATACTCTTGCTGCAATATAATTACAGCCTTTCCTCACTTAACAACGGAGTTCCGTTCCTAGGACCACGTCATTAAACGAATTCATCGCTAAGTGAGAAGTATACTATAATGGTAGCGAGTTTGTGTCAACAATCTTTGATATTTTTTAATGTCACCTTTGCACCATTTATAGCATTTCTGGTATATTTTTAAATGTTTATACAGTAGTGTACTGTATATTGAAATAAACAGAATAGAGGAAATCAGCTCTAATGTACATTATTTAGGTATGAATACTAGTCAGAGAGCCTGTCGTAAGTCTGAGGTGTCGGTAAACGAGTACGTCACGAAGTGAGGAGAGGCTGTATTGTAACAAATTTGTGTTCTGTTTGCAAGTGAACTTATTTTGATTGAAATGCAAGATTGATCAATTCCTAAGCCAGAATCATGCCTGTAGATGAATGGTTCAGAGAACCGACAAGTTGATGGATTAGACACATGTGCAACTCTTGGGTATCTTTATTGAGGAAACGTTTTGCCACACAGTGGCTTCATCAGTCCATACAAAGGAGAAACGTGAAGAACAGGAGGAGAATGAGGTAATCAGTCCCTCAACCTTGAGTCGATGTGATCAGTCCATCAATCTTGAATAGAATGATGGACTGACAACATCGACTCAAGGTTGAGGGACTGATTACCTCATTCTCCTCCTGTTCTTCACTTTTCTCCTTTGTATGGACTGATGAAGCCACTGTGTGGCAAAACATTTCCTCAATAAAGATACCCAAGAGTTGCACATGTGTCTAATTTATCAGAATCATGCTAGCTGTGCCCCAAACAGTTCAGTATAACTAGGTATTACAAATAATAGATCCAATTCCTGCTACATTGATATTTACCCCAGTATAGCTTGGGTCCTACTAGTGGGTCCTATAACCCTTATAACAACCACACACACTATTACTTACCACCTGCTCCCCCATTAACCCTTTGACTGTCGCAAGCCCCTTTCTGAAACTGTCATTCTATGTTGCAAAAGTTTTGGAAAAAAAAATTATTTTTTTCTTTTGAAATGATAGAAAATCTTTTTCCGATGGTAATGACACCAAAAGTACGAAATTTGGTCGAAAACTCATGGAATTATACTCCTGCGAAGTTAGGGGTCTCGGTGACACATACGCATTGGCAATTTTGCCGACTTTGAGCCCTGTTTTTTGGCCAATTCCGTTGTTTTAGTTGACAAAACTCATAGCTATTTCTTTAGAACTCAATTTCTTCTATCAGTTGAGTACAAGAAACCACCCATTTACCGATTTGAACTACCCAATAAAGTGGTCAGAAATTGGCAATTTGGCCAATTTCATGCAAATTAAAAAAGATGACAATTTCAAAATAGGGTCCAGAATAAACAATGTTAGACATTTTGGGGGGGGGGGGGGCACTAAAATAACATATCCTCTGTTCATTAGTCCGTCTCTAGGCCCCTCTTATATTACTATTGCTTTCTATTTTGATTTTTTATTCATACAAAAAATACAAAATTTACTGTTATGCAGACTAATGCATTATTTTAAAAATGGTATAAATAATATCAGTGCACTAGTGAAAGAATATTAGACTCCCCAGTTGACGTGTATTGGACGTGTGGTGTAATTTGCTTACTCCTGAACATTGGTAAAAATCGAACATTTCCGTTACTTTGAGCTCAATTTCAAGGTCGTTTTCATCATGAAAGTAATGAAAATCATCTCTGTTTCTGTAATATGTTTTCCATTTTATCACCTGAGACCATGAAAACGAGAATACAATGATAAATACTATACGAAAATACACCTCAAAGTCGGCGTTTTAATAAAAAAAAACTGTCAAGATTTTTTTTTCTCATTACGCACTGCGTGCTGCAGGATTTTTTTTGTGTGGTGCACACTGACCACACAGACCCATTCTCTCACATGTAGGGCTACCAGCTTTCTCCTGCTTGACTTGAAGCTGCTAGAATTTACACGTATAAATACGTCAGAAACAGTGGCGCGTAAGAAATATATATACGATGTAAACAGTCAAAGGGTTAATACGTTAAACTGAGGATTTACATTGCAGTGTGAAAAATATAATTCAGAGAGAGAGAGAGAGAAAGAGAGAGAGAGAGAAAGAGAAAGAGAGAAAGAGAAAGAGAAAGAGAGAAAGAAAAGAGAAAAGAAAAAAAAAAGAGAAAAAAGAGAAAGAGAAAGAAGAAAGAGAAAGGGGTAGAAAAGAGAAATAGAGAAAGAGAAGAGAGAGAGAGAAAAAGAGAGAGAGAGAGAGAGAGAGAAAAAGAGAGAGAGAGAGAGAGAGAGAGAGAGAGAGAGAGAGAGAGAGAGAGAGAAGAGAGAAAGAGAGAGCTCAACCATAGCTTTGTGAACACTCGACGTCCCGACATGATAGCTGTTGTTGAAACATTTTTGGATGACAGGACTCCAGAAAATTTTGCAAGAATTGCTGGCAACACCTCTTTGGAAAAGAAGAGACAGGCAAGGGCAAGGAGGAGGTTTGGCTGTGTGCTTCTCTAAAAGTGTTCATGCCCAGCACATTGATGTTGCCCCCCCTACACATCTGAATGATGTTCTTCAAGCTCTGTATAAACATAGTACCTCTTTTACTAGCATGTGCAATGTACAGACCTCAGTGGCAACATGCAGACCCTATCAACTTCCTAAGGGAAAATTTGACTCCCTTCTGCTACCCCACAACTGTCAACATATTATAATTGTTGGTGACCTCAACCAGCACCTTATACAGAGGGACTTTGATAACCTTCTTGCAGTGTTTGACATGAGAAACTTTGTTGTTTTCCCCTACTCATATCTCTGGCTCCTCCCTTGACCCAGTAGGAGTGATCTGGCAGAAGGCATAGTCACTTGTCAACCCTCGCTACGTTGGATCGCTGACCACAAGGCTGTTTTTACCACACTTAAAAACCCAACAGAAAAAGGGTGAGGAGTCCACACCACAACCTGGCTGTGGGAAAGAGGTAATTGGCCAGCCCTTTGCTCTGAGCTCACCACCACCGACTGGAATGCCTTCTCCAAGGGGATGTTGACAACCAAGTGAAAGCCTTTGCTGGACACATCCTTAATCTACAACAAGAACACATTCCTCACCGGGAATATGTGACGAAGCCTACAGATCAGCCTTTGGGTTTGGCTTTCGTTGTAGAGAGGCTGCTACTGCTAAGTACAAAGCATGGCGAAGGTATAAAAGACATCCTACCACCTATAACAGGAACTTGCACATGCAAGCCTGTAGGCATATGGGTTGATTTCAAAAGTGGGCCATTGCTAAATGGGAGGTGGACACTAAAGGAAGGTTTGCATCAGGTAGGTAGCTCCAAAACCTGGTGGTCCCTGGTCAAGGACAGACAAGGTTATCTGCCTGATGAAAATTATTCCACCTCTAAATCGACAGGATGGGACCACCTGTACTAGTAGTCAAGAGAAGGGGGACCTCTTTGCTGAACACTTTGCTACCAAAATGCAAGTTTTCCCGATCCAGCAAGGGGCCCTCCTTGGGTAGCTGCAAGAACTGTGTCAAAACTGTCAGTGGTGACAATAAGGCAGGAGGAGGTGCATTTCCTACTTAAAAACGCTTGACCAAAAAAAAGGCTGTGGCCCAGACAAGTTGAGCCCAAGATTGTTGAGAAGATGTGCAGACCAGCTAGCAGCACCTCTAACTGGGATCTTTTCAGCACTGCCTAGTACATGGTAAATGGCCCTCTTTATGGAAAGAGGCAAATGTAGTCCCTGTTCACAAAAAGAAGAGCAGAGCCAAAATCAGCAACTACAGACCATGTCACTCCTGTCAATCACTGGTAAGATCCTTGAGACAATAATTTTCAAGACAAAAAACAGAGTTTTTTGACTACCACTCACTACTTTGTGATCGTCAATATGGCTTCAGGAAAGGTTACTCTGCTGCTGATCTGTTTGTTAAACCCCTCCACTAAGTGGCACCAGTCACTGGATGAATCCAAATCAGCTGTGTGGTAGCACTGGACATTGCTGGGGCTTTTTGACCGGGTGTGGCACCAGGGCCTCTTAGCAAAACTTCAAGCACTGGGAATTGCAGGCTCTATGCTATGTCCCCCTCAGTTTACTACCTTCATGGTAGATCTCTAAGTGTAGTTCTCAATGGAACGGAATCAGCAAGACATCCTATTGGGGCAAGTGTTCCACAAGGAAGCGTGCTGGGTCCATTGTTATGGAATGTCTACTTCAACGACCTCTTCATCTCATCCCAGAATCACATGCATATGCAGACGACTGTACACTGACATTCACTTATCCAAGAAAAGAAATGCCAGCTGCTCTAAGCTACATAAATCACCAGCTGAGAGCTATATCAGCTTGGGGAAATAGATGGCAAGTAACATTTGCACCTGAGAAAACGCAAATGATGATCGTCTCTAGGCACCATGATGGTAATGCTGGTGCAGTAAAAGGATGAATGGGAGGATGTTGGCACCTGGAGAAGAAGTTGATATCCTTGGGGTGAAATTTGACTCCAAACTAACCATGAAGAACCATGTTGTAAATCTTGCAAACAAGGCAGCCAGGAAGCTTACAGCACTTCGCCGTATCTCCCATGTGCTTGACAGTAGGGGTTGCAAGATCCTGTATGAGGCACAAGTACGCTCGCACCTTGAGTATGCTCCACTTTCTTGGTTTGCCTGCCCCCCCTCTCGTCTGCGACTGCTTGACAGAGTAGAGAACAGAGCAAGACGTCTCATCTCTCGCCTGGACCCATCCTGGATAGATCTGTCATTTCAGCAGAGCCTTCAACATAGGAGGGATGTGGGTGGCCTTACTGTTATGTACAAGGCCAATATTGTCAAAATACCACACTTGGATCCACTTCGAGGACAGCGTGAAACAAGCTTTTATGCCACAAGACGGGCAGAAAGCAGCAACTTCACTCTGGCTGTACCCTTCTCCAGAACATCACTCCATCTGAGATCATACATACCCAGGATGACTCGAGTATGGAACACATTCGTACAGGATAATGATGTCAACGAGATAAAGTCAGTTGATCAAATGAAAATGCTGGCCCACAGATGGCTCCAACTTCATCCTGTTTCCTACTTGTATGTCTCATAACAATAAAAATGCTTTCAAATGAGCTGATGTAGGTAACAGCTCTTAGCTTGCCAATAAAGTTAGGAATCCTTAACCTGTAAATAGCTGTCAATAAAGCTAGGGATCCTTAACCTTGTCAAACCCTGTGTAAAAAAAAAAGAGAGAGAGAGAGAGAGAGAGAGAGAGGAGAGAGAGAGAGAGAAAGAGAAAGAGAAAGAGAGAAAGAGAAAAGAGAGAAAGAGAAAGAGAAAGAGAGAGAAAGAGGAAAGAGAGAAAGAGAAAGAGAGAAAGAGAGAGAGAAAGAGAGAGAAAGAGAGAGAAAGAGAGAGAGAGAGAGAGAGAGAGAGAGAGAGAGAGAGAAAGAGAGAGAGAAAGAGAGGAAAGAAAGAGAGAGATAGGTGGGGGGTGGGGAAGGGTTGCTGAAATGGTTTGGTTATATAGAAATAATGTAGTAAAATGGAATAATTAAGAGTATGTAAATGTAGGTTGGAGGGAGGGGGTAAAGGAGGTTTTGTGGGCGAGGGGCTTGGACTTCCAGCAAGCGTGCGTAAGCGCGTTAGATAGGAGTGAATGGAGACGAATGGTATTTGGGACCTGACAAGCTGTTGGAGTGTGAGCAGGGTAATATTTAGTGAAGGGATTCAGGGAAACTGGTTATTTTATATAGCCGGACTTGAGTCCTGGAAATGGGAAGTATAGTGCCTGCACCTTAAAGGAGGGGTTTGGGATATGTTGTGTATCTTTATATGTATATACTTCTATTCTGTTGTATTCTGAGCACCTCTGCAAAAACAGTGATTATGTGTGAGTGAGGTGAAAGTGTTGAATGATGATGTAAGTATTTTCTTTTTGGGGATTTTCTTTCTTTTTGGATCACCCTGCCTTGGTGGGAGACGTCCGACTTGTTAAGAAAAAAAAAAATTGTAGGTGGATGAATGGAGGTGAAAAGCAATGTTTGAGGATGGGGTGAAGGAAGTTTCGAGTGAGTGAACATCCAACACTCACGTAAACAGAAGACTGAAATGAGTGAAGGCAAAGTATCTGGAATTTTATGTGTGATCATTGCATTATCTATTAAGGAATTTAGGTATATCATTTAGTTAAATTTGGCTTTTAAAGATGGGGATTACAATGCCTATGATTAGTAAGTTGGGGAAGGATGTTGAGGTTAGTAAGTTTATATAGGTACAGGTACACATAAGTACAATTATCATACAAAATAACATATGTGTAAATTACCTAGGATAACCCATAAAAGTCTGATAAAGTGATTTATTTCCACTGGAGTCCTTGGGGTTCAGCAGTACATCATTTGATTGCAATGTTTCCACCTTTCTGGCAATACAACAAGGAAGTTGAGTGATGGTGAATATGCATTCTCATTTGGCCACCAAGTTTTTCTTAGAAAGAACTGATGTATTAGAAACTATAGTATTATAAACTCAGATTGCAGAAGTCATAGGTCGTGTAACATTTGTTCAATACGACCTACTTAAACTCAGATTGTTGACTGCTGTCTTCAACAGGTACATGCTCCACATGAGTTAAAAACCAGAGAGGTGATTGCTTTCAGTTACTTCTTTGATCGTGCTACAGAGAGGGGTCTCATAGGTAGGTTTTATCTCCAGCTACTGTACCTTAAATTGTTTTGCAAAGATTCAATAATTTATGCAAAGATGTGAATTTTTTTTTTTTTTAAATAATGGCCACTGGTATGGGTTGCATTCTCATGCTTTCATATGTGTTAAATGTCTTCAATAACCTAAGCAGTTGTGGTAAAAATGTGCAGAAACAGATTCTGGTGTAGTTACTTTCTCAAGGAAACCATACCCCGGCCGGGATTGAACCCGCGGTCATAGAGTCTCAAAACTCCAGCCCGTCGCGTTAGCCACTAGACCAGCTAGCCACAATAAGATTCGTCCAACTAGGTATATTTCTACACCATAGGAAGGTTAGCACAGGCACCACTGTGACCACAAATGCAAGTTTTTACGGACGAATCTCCAGCTAGAGTTCGTCACGGACGCTAGCTGGAGATTCGTCTGTAAAAACTTGCATTTGTGGTCACAGTGGTGCCTGTGCTAACCTTCCTATGGTGTAGAAATATACCTAGTTGGACGAATCTTATTGTGGCTAGCTGGTCTAGTGGCTAACGCGACGGGCTGGAGTTTTGAGACTCTATGACCGCGGGTTCAATCCCGGCTGGGGTATGGTTTGTTTGCAATCGTGTCATTACGATTTCTCAAGGAAGGTTATTAGGAGATATATGGGATCAGAATTAAAGTGTGTATATCTGTGTAGTAATTTGTATTTTGAAAGATACCTTTTAATTTTTTTTTTTTTTTTTAGATCCATTTAAAGGAGGAGAATTAACCGTGCAGGAATTCCTCAATGCTGCTGTTCAAAGTAAGTTAACGTTTACTGTTTTTGACTGTAGAGAAAAACTTACAGAACTGTATAAATTTATTAAACTGCACTGATTCACTTTGGATTATTTACCATTATCAATCTTTGCAAAACTTCCCTCTTGCCTTCAGTTCTGTTCCTATGTATTTTGCATTTTTATTTTTTTTTACATTTGAATTTACAGGCTAAGAGCTGTTTTCCTTTCTCAGCTCAATTCAAAGCCCAGCTCTGTCTAAGGTATATTACCCCCATTCTTTCCCTACCAGACAGCTTCAGCAGAACACACAGGCATAACATGAGGCACAAAACACTTTTTGACATCCCGCGTGTCCATCTCGCACTATGCAAAAAATGCAGTGCAAATAAAAGGCCCAAAGATCTTGAACTCTTTGCCAGAAACAGCAAGAGGTCCCCTTCCCACAAATCAATTTAGGACTATACTCAAAAATCACCTCATCTCTCAGTAGTAACCATACCCACACTATGCTAAACTCTAAACAAATTTAAAGCAACTCTCCCTAATATTTTCTTATCCCTTAACTATTAAGCTATTATTACAAATGGTCAGGCCAGGAATTACATATGAGAAACATCAATACATTTGCAGCCTATATTGTGATAATATAAGCAATTCTAAGACAGTTTGTTTTTTTGCATTTTTGGATTTTAATTTTGGACCATAAAATACCCTTTTTGATGGAATCAAATATGAGGCGAGTCCTGACAAAGGTTAAACTATTGGTGATAGATCACGCATCAGATTTGATGCAATGCCCAACAATAGTAAGTGTCTAAATGAATCATAACAGTTACTAATGAATGATAATAAAAGGCATATATATACATTAAAGGTTTATTAATGTACAACTAGGTTAAACAAAAGGCACAGTAACTTGATTTCAATCATTTTAACACATTTGTAGTAATTGACATTATGCAAAAAAATGAAAAAATGTTACAATATGGCACCAAGTGAGTATCCTTTCTGTATTTATTGTGACAGACATTTTTATAAGAGGTATCTAAGCATCTTGTTCAGTATGGAAATCCATGAAACAATTCCTGGTTGCATTTATACATAGATTAACCTTGTAGTATATGGAACAAGAGAGGAAGAGTAGGTCCTCTTGGTGTTGGTGTTGCAATGTTTACTTATGAAAGCCTCTTTGTAGGAACTGGCCAGTGAAGTACTGTTTGATCATATCTTATATCATCCTGAGCCCTTTTTCCAGGCCAACTGAAAATTTCTTCAAGTGAAGAAGACTGTGAAATTGAAAAACTTGGAGATGATCTCAGGCTCCTGCGGATTACCTTGGTTGGTCTTCTTGCAGAATGAGAGGCAGAAAACTTGAATTCCTTGAGGTTCATGTATTTCTCTTTCAATGCACCATAGTCACGCCTGTACAACAATCAGCCATTGACACAACAAAGATCAAGGACATATCCAAAGAGCCTCATGTACCATCGTTTTGCTTTGAGTGGGGACTTGTAGAAATGCACCAACATACCATTCTTATCTATGCCTTCCATATGGCCATTATAATTTTTTATGACTGAAGGACAGTTACCATCTACCTTTGTTGTTGACAATTCTTTCGTCAACCTGGTTTTCCAGTAACTCGCTGACTTCTCGCAGACAAATCTTCATGTTCATCTTCACTTGAAGCTGAAGCATCTGGATGTGGCTCAGATTCATCCACAGAATCCACTTCATTAGTGTCACTGTCATCATATAACTGGCACGATGTAATCCCTTTTTCTTTGAGCCTTTGATCCATAAAACACATTTGTGTTTGAAATAAACAGAAAACACAAAATGAGCAAATTTTATAAATTTACAAGGTAAAAGTGCTCATATATCAATGAATTTGATTCAGCATGCAGTTGTTAGCTATCAATGACAAAGATGGTCTATTTGTTATCTATTAATCCGTGATATATGACACCTTCATTGCCACATTTCTTATCGCTGTTGTCAGGTTTTGCCGCAAATAAGTACCATTCAGTGGTATGTGATGTTCTATCATTGTCAGGCCATGACTCATATTTGATACAAAAAAGGTTAACAAAACTTCAAGTGCATTCATTTGTTACTTCTCAATGCCTCAGGCAATTCATTTGCATCTCAAAATGAGATTCAAACATTCAATAATGCACTGAAAACACATCCCATTCTGGAGTGGTGTAAATTGGTGAAATATCTAGAGAATGAGGTTGGAAATGGTGCTCCTTCAACACTTCAGACAGTACTGAAGGTTGCTGGAGCTCCCAGCCAATAGCAGTTGACAACACCCAACTGACACCACATTCAAACTCCGCCCAGAAGGCTTCTGATTGGTTGGATTGAGATGAGAAGTCTATTTGAGGACATGCTTTTTGCTCATGGCACCATGAAAACCATGCTTCTCTTTTTATTTTTTTGCCTCAGTTTTGATACAAGCCTGGTAAAGGGTTGTACTACCTCATATTAATAGTAAACAAACTTAATTACAAACTTAAAAATGTACATTTGTATCATAAATTGTACTGCCTCATATTAATAATAAGAGTAAAATATTGAATATTTGTAATCTCCCACTCTTCACCTGTCTAGACTTAAGTAGCCTTTAAGTATTAGGTTAAGTCTGGCCAAAATGCCTCAGCATGATAGTGGCTTTATTTGTACCAATCATATGAAATAACACATATTGTAACCTTGGCAAAGAAATAAAGTTTTTATTTTTATTTGAACAGTTTAGCTAACACCCAAGTACCTGTTTACTGTTGGGTGAACAGGGTTAACAGGTGTAGGAAAACTTGCTCATACAATTTGATGTGCATGAGAATGAAACCCAAGTCCTGCAGTTGTGAGCCAAGAGCTCTTTTGTTGAGTAGTCTTAAGTTTTGTTTTTCTTTACAAGTGGGAACTTTTACATTTATTAGACAAATCTGTGAGAATTCTCAGCAGATGTTTTGATTTTACTTTTCAAGTTACTATTGCTTGAAGGCATTTAGAAGTCTGGAGAGCTGTTTTCTTATTTGCAAAGAAGGGACATTTCTTAAAGGGACAGTGGTACATACATACTCTGTAGATTAACAAACTTGTATTGTGAAGACAAGAGAACATGTAACAGTTGTGAATTATATTTTTTTACAGAACATTCAAATTTATCCACTAAAGTGGGCCTAACTGTATTAGTGTGATCATAAGTTCACTTCATATAGGTTGTTGCTTTGGCACCCTTCACCAGTTTAACAGCAAGCAGCTATGTTTCCAGGGAAGACAAGTCAGTCTAGCCTTATGTTACTGGGTAACCCAGGTGCTAGAAAGGGTGTATTCTCTTGGTCATGCACACAAGCTGTAGTACCAGAAGTTTGGAAACTATGATTTCTGCCACATGTACTGCTTGGAATTGTTATATTCTAGATAATAAAAGTTGTAAAACTAAGTATATCATTCTTTAGTCATAGCTGTTTAATAAATTGCTTTGCAAAAATAAAATACCAGACTCCAGAATGTTAAGTAGTTTCATCATTGGCATCTTCTTACATATTTTCTTTTAGGAACCTAAGATCTCATGTTTACAGTTTAAAAATTAAAAGAAAATGTTGGATGACATAATAGTCCTAATATGCTCTTACATATGTTAAAAGGCTTTTAATTCATTTTAACAGCTTGCAACATTCCCAATGTGGAGCAGCCACTAGCATGCCTAGATCTCACTTTTATCAGTTCATTCCTCACTTATGGGTATGGCCTCAAGGGAAGCAGCATTATAAAGGTAAGTCTCTTGTGTGCTTCTTCTAATTATTCATCTCCCTTTAAGACAAATGTATACTAAATAGGTAATTGTAGTAGGTTTAAAAGGAAATGTTGCAATTGTAGATTTTTTTTTTTCTCTCTCAACAAGTTGGCCGTCTCCCACCGAGGCAGGGTGACCCAAAAAAGAAAGAAAATCCCCAAAAAGAAAATGCTTTCATCATCATTCAACACTTTCACCACACTCACACATAATCACTGTTTTTGCAGAGGTGCTCAGAATACAACAGTTTAGAAGCATATACGTATAAAGATACACAACATATCCCTCCAAACTGCCAATATCCCAAACCCCTCCTTTAAAGTGCAGGCATTGTACTTCCCATTTCCAGGACTCAAGTCTGACTATATGAAAATAACTAGTTTCCCTGAATCCCTTCACTAAATATTACCCTGCTCACACTCCAACAGATCGTCAGGTCCCAAGTACCATTCGTCTCCATTCACTCCTATCTAACACGCTCACGCACGCTTGCTGGAAGTCCAAGCCCCTTGATTACAAAACCTCCTTTACCCCCTCTCTCCAACCCTTTCGAGGACGACCCCTACCTCGCCTTCCTTCCCCTATAGATTTATATGCTTTCCATGTCATTCTACTTTGATCCAACCTCTCTAAATGACCAAACCACCTCAACAACCCCTCTTCTGCCCTCTGACTAATACTTTTATTAACTCCACACCTTTTCCTAATTTCCATACTCCGAATTTTCTGCATAATATTTACGCCACACATTGCCCTTAGACAGGACATCTCCACTGCCTCCAACCATCTCCTCGCTGCTGCATTTACCACCCATATAAGAGTGTTGGTACTACTATACTTTCATACATTCCCTTCTTTGCCTCCATAGATAATGTTTTTTGACTCCACATATACCTCAATGCACCACTCACCTTTTTTCCCTCATTAATTCTATGATTAACCTCATCCTTCATAAATCCATCCGCCGACACGTCAACTCCCAAGTATCTGAAAACATTTACTTCTTCCATACTCCTCCTCCCCAATTTGATATCCAATTTTTCTTTATCTAAATCATTTGATACCCTCATCACCTTACTCTTTTCTATGTTCACTTTCAACTTTCTACCTTTACACACATTCCCAAACTCGTCCACTAACCTTTGCAATTTTTCTTTAGAATCTCCCATAAGCACAGTATCATCAGCAAAAAGTAACTGTGTTAATTCCCATTTTGAATTTGATTCCCCATAATTTAATCCCACCCCTCTCCCGAACACCCTAGCATTTACTTCTTTTACAACCACATCTATAAATATATTAAACAACCATGGTGACATTACACATCCCTGTCTAAGACCTACTTTTACCGGGAAGTAGTTTCCCTCTCTTCTACACACCCTAACCTGAGCCTCACTATCCTCATAAAAGCTCTTTACAGCATTTAGTAACTTACCACCTTTTCCATATACTTGCAACATCTGCCACATTGCTCCCCTATCCACTCTATCATATGCCTTTTCTAAATCCATAAATGCAATAAAAACTTCCCTACCTTTATCTAAATACTGTTCACATACATGCTTCAATGTAAACACTTGATCTACACATCCCCTACCCACTCTGAAACCTCCTTGCTCATCCGCAATCCTACATTCTGTTTTACCTCTAATTCTTTCAATTATAACCCTACTATACACTTTTCCTGGTATACTCAATAAACTTATTCCTCTATAATTTTTACAATCTCTTTTGTCCCCTTTCCCTTTATATAAAGGGACTATACATGCTCTCCGCCAATCCCTAGGTACCTTCCCCTCTTTCATACATTTATTAAACAAAAGTACCAACCACTCCAACACTATATCCCCCCCTGCTTTTAACATTTCTGTCATGATCCCATCAGTTCCAGCTGCTTTACCCCCTTTCATTGTACGTAATGCCTCACGTACCTCCCCCATACTTACATTCTGCTCTTCTTCACTCCTAATAGATGGTATACCTCCCTGACCAGTGCATGAAATTACCACCTCCCTTTCTTCCTCAACATTTAAAAGTTCCTCAAAATATTCTCGCCATCTACCTATTACCTCCCTCTCCCCATCTACTAACTCCCCTACTCTATTTTTAACTGCCAAATCCATACTTTCCATATGCTTTCTTAACTTGTTTAACTCACTCCAAATTTTTTTCTTATTTTCATTAAAATTTCTTGACAGTGCCTCTCCCACTCTATCATCTGCTCTCCTTTTGCACTCTCTCACCACTCTCTTCACCTTTCTTTTACTGTCCATATACTCTGCTTTTCTTATAACACTTCTGCTTTGTAAAAACCTCTCATAAGCTAACTTTTTCTCTTTTATCACACCCTTTACTTCATCATTCCACCAATCACTCCTCTTTCCACCTGCCCCCACCCTCCTATAACCACAAACTTCTGCTCCACATTCTAATACTGCATTTTTAAAACTATTCCAACCCTCTTCAACCCCCTACTACTCATCTTTGCACTAGCCCACCTTTCTGCCAACAGTCGCTTATATCTCCCCCGAACTTCCTCCTCCCTTAGTTTATACACTTTCACCTCCCTCTTACTTGTTGTTGCCACCTTCCTCTTTTCCCATCTACCTCTTACTCTAACTGTAGCTACAACTAAATAATGATCCGATATATCAGTTGCCCCTTTATAAACATGTACATCCTGGAGCCTACCCATCAACCTTTTATCCACCAATACACAATCTAACAAACTACTTTTATTACGTGCTACATCATACCTTGTATATTTATTTATCCTCTTTTTCATAAAATATGTATTACTTATTACCAAATCTCTTTCTACACATAGCTCAATTAAAGGCTCCCCATTTACATTTACCCCTGGCACCCCAAATTTACCTACTACTCCCTCCATAACATTTTTACCCACTTTAGCATTGAAATCCCCAACCACTATTACTCTCACACTTAATTCAAAACTCCCCACGCATTCACTCAACATTTCCCAAAATCTCTCTCTCTCCTCTACACTTCTTTCTTCTCCAGGTGCATACACGCTTACTATAACCCACTTTTCACATCCAGTCTTTATTTTACTCCACATCATCCTTGAATTAATACATTTATAGTCCCTCTTTTCCTGCCATAGCTTATCCAACATTATTGCTACTCCTTCTTTAGCTCTAACTCTATTTGAAACCCCTGACCTAATCCCATTTATTCCTCTCCATTGAAACTCTCCCACCCACTTCAGCTTCGTTTCACTTAAAGTCAGGACATCCAGCTTCTTCTCATTCATAACATCCACAATCATCTCTTTCTTATCATTTGCACAACATCCATGCACATTCAGACTTCCCACTTTGACAATTTTCTTCTTCTTTTTAGTAATCTTTACAGGAAAAGGGGTTACTAGCCCATTGTTCCTGGCATTTTAGTTGACTTTTACAACACACATGGCTTACGGAGGAAAGATTCTTATTCCACTTCCCCATGGATATAAAAGGAAAAGTATTAAGACCAAGAACTATTAAGATAAAATAAAAGAAAACTCAGATGAGTATGTATAAATAAATGTGTACATGTATGTGTAGTGTGACCTAAATGTAAGTAGAAGTAGCAAGACATACCTGTAATCTTGCATATTTATGAGACAGACAAAAGACACCAGCAATCCTACCATCACGTAAAACAATTACAGGCTTTTGTTTTACATTCACTTGGCAGGACGGTAGTACCTCCCTGGATGGTTGCTGTCTACCAACCTACTACCTACAAATTGTAGATATGGGTATAAATTTAATTTTTTATTTATATAAGAAGCTTTAACCTATGCAAGTCATTTAGTGCAAGGAGTAGTAGAGGCTTGATCCTTCATTACCAAGATAAAGACTGTACTCCCTAAATGAATTTGTTTTTTATAGAAATTAAGTGCATGACATTATATCAGTAAGTGAATATAAAATAACTTGAGACTTTAAATTGTATGTGTACTTAATGTACTGGATGAAATGTAGAGTGCATAGAAGGTTAATGAAATAAGATGAGAAGAAAGTTCGGGCATGTTTGTGTTTATAACATGGAATGTAAGTCGTGGAAGAATTAGTAAATAAGAAATATGTTGTAATTAAGAAGGTGCAGAGCCCATTAAGGGTAAGGAAGGAAGGAACTTTTTTGTGGAAATGTTTAGAGAACATTTCTGTTTATTTGTGTTCTGGGGGCAAGTTCCAAAGATTGGTCAGTACATAGAAATTAAATATATTTATTCTGAGGAAAAACATTTTGAAGAGATGAGAATTACTCCGATCAAAGAAATGGAAAGTATGCTCCACAAAGGGGACAGTAAAGCATTAGCAAAGAACTACAGACCGATAGCACTAACATCCCATATCATAAAAATCTTTGAAAGGGTCCTAAGAAGCAAGATTGCCACCTATGTTACAGTTACACAACCCAGGGCAGCATGGGTTTAGAGCAGATTGCTCCTGTCTGTCCCAACTACTGGATCACTATGACAAGGTCCTAGATGCACTAGAAGACAAAAAGAATGCAGATGTAATATGCACAGACTTTGCAAAAGCCTTCGACAAGTGTGACCATGGCGTAATAGTGTACAAAATGTGTGCTAAAGGAATAATGAAAAGTTGGTAGATGGATCTATAATTTCCTGACAAATAGAACACAAAGAGTAGTAGTCAACAGAGTAAAGTCTGAGGTGGCTATGGTGAAAAGCTCTGTTCATCAAGGCACAGTACTCGCTCCCATCTTGTTCCTCATCCTCATATCTGACATGTAAGTCACAGCACCATGTCTTCCTTTGCAGATGACACCCAAATCTGCATGACAGTGTCTTCCATTGCAGACACTGCAAGGCTCCAGGCAGACATCAACCAAATCTTTGTGGGGTGCAGAAAACAATATGAAGTTCAGCGATGAGAAATTTCAATTACTCTGATATGGTAAATGTGAGGAAATTAAAACTTCATCAGAGTATAAAACAAATTCCAACCACACAATAAAGTGAAAAACTAACGTCAAAGACTTGGGAGTGATCATTTCGGAGGATCTCACCTTCAAGGACCATAACATTGTATCAATTGCATCTGCTAGAAAAATGACAGGATAGATAATGAGAACCTTCAAAACTAGGGATGCCAAGCCCATGATGACATTCTTCAAGTCGCTTGTTCTATCTAGGCTTGAATATTGCTGCACACTAACAGCACCTTTCAAGGCAGGTGAAATTGCTGACCTAGAAAATGTACAGAGAACCTTCATGGCACGCATAACTGAAGTAAAACACCTCAATTACTGGGAGCGCTTGAAATTCCTGAACCTGTACTCCCTGGAATGCAGGGAGAGAGATACATGATTATATACACTGGAAAGCCCTAGAGGGACTAGTACCAAACTTGCACACGAAAATCACTCCCTACGAAAGCAAAAGACTCGGCAGACGATGCAACATCCCCCAATGAAAAGCAGGGGTGTCACTAGCACATTAAGAGACAACACAATAAGTGTCAGGGGCCCAAGACTGTTCAACTGCCTCCCAGCATACATAAGGGGGATTACCAATAGACCCCTGGATGTCTTCAACCAGGCACTGGACAAGCACCTAATGTTGGTACCTGACCAGCCGGGCTGTGGTTCGTACATTGGATTGCATGCAGCCAGCAGTAACAGCCTGGTTGATCAGGCCCTGATCCACCATGAGGCCTGGTCGCAGGGGCGTTGACCCCCGGAACTCTTTCCAGGTAAACTCCAGGTAAATGAGTTTCATGGGAGAGAAAAAGCTTGAAGTAGAATGAAATAAAAGTGCTGCTGATAACATTGAAGGAAGGTTATTTTATTATTAATGATTGTTTTAACTTTACCACTTGGTGAATGAAATGTTTTTTAGTGTTTAAAGAAAGCTAGGAGGATAATTGGGTAGACGATCAAACTACAAACATTCAAGTGAGACATAGAAATCAGATTGAAGTTAAAATTATCATGAGCTTTGCTACCAAGTAAGTACAGTGGACCCCCGGTTAACGATATTTTTTCACTCCGTAAGTATGTTCAGGTGCCAGTACTGACAGAATTTATTCCCATAAGGAATATTGTGAAGTAGATTAGTCCATTTCAGACCCCCAAACATACACGTACAAACGCACTTACATAAATACACTTACATAATTGGTCGCATTTGGAGGTAATCGTTATGCGGGGGTTCACTGTACTGATGAGTAAGAAGTGTTCATGAAGCATTCTTTAAAGTACCTTATTCATAATTATGCCTAGAAATACTGTGTGTAGAGTGCTAGGTATTATGTTGCTATCAATACTTACTATAATGATTTATTGAAATAGGTTAATTCATCAGTATTTATTTGTAATTATATATTTCTTTTGGTCTACAGCTTTACAAGAAGATTGATAATTATGAAGTCAGCTGGGGGCTTGGTTTAGCTTTCCATGTGATCAATAATGGAATATGAGATCAATGAATTTTAGACCTTGTGTTATTTCTACTAAACACTTAATACAATAAACTTAAACTCGAGTGCCTGAAGAAACTGTGCAATCTGTGTTGGTCTCCTCTTATCAGAAAGACAATTTTCATCTTGTGTAAGGTGATTTCAACAGACTCAACATTCATGCTTACTGTGCTAAGTAAAGAACAATTATTCAGAACCTGCACATTGATAAAGTGCTCTATAAAAGTAGTCAATGAAAGACATTGTTATATCAAAAGGAGAGTATGTTCTTTCAACCACATTATGTATATTGTCTACTGGGTTTAAAGAATCATTGCATATGCATAATAATCAAAGAATGTTACAGAACAGTGTTTGTAAATATATGTCTGAACATATAGTGCAAGCATCTATATGAAGAGCATAATTACTAATAGATAATTGTAATGCAATTTTCATGAAATATTTATATTTAGAATTTATTTCTGTACTTAATATTATGTGAAAATATTAATGATCATAGCATATTTTATTGCAGATTAGCTTGCTTTGAAGCTTAAGAATTTATTTGCAGGTGATGTATCTGTACAGTAATTAGGTATCATATCTTATGGATATATTTATTTTTAAATTTCTACTTTTCTGAAATATAAGTTGAGAACGACTCTTCACAAAGACTCGAAGCAATAACAAGTATCAAGGTTGAAGTTGGACACAAATTGTAGAACAAGTTTTATCAGGACAACAAACTCTGTATAGAGCTTTTATCACAGTCTAAAGCACTGTATAACCCTTATGGTTTTAGTGCTTAATTTGATTATAATTATGTAAAGTAATTAATCACAGTCCAAAATGTTTCAAGAAAAGCTTGTTCAGCAACCTGTGTCTGTATTCATACTCGTTGGCCATTTCCTCCCTGTAGCAACATTTCTTGTTGAAATTTGACTGTCGGCTCCCAGTGTAACTGTTTTGGGAACAAATTTTTATTTTATTGGGGAGTGGGGAGGGCTTCTTTGTCCCTGCACACAAAAGCAACAAATTAGTATTACTTCACCAAACACTACATACATTCCTTAATGCCATGTAATATGCTAAATTGTCTCAGTAAGAACTGCAGGCATAGACTTTTTCTAAAGCTATAATTCTTAGAATTTAAACCTTTTTTGGATGATCATCTAAAATGGTTTGAAATATTCATAGCTCATATTTGGCAAGTGTAGATCTTTAGTTATGATATATACCATATATACATTTTCATTAACGACTCAAGATTTCCACTGATGGAGGTTACACAAATATTTATACAAATATTTTGTATTATAATTACAGAATTATTCCAAAGATGGTATTTAAAAAAAAAGTAAATTATTTACCAAGTATTTCTAATTGTTGGACCCTTTGAAGACAGCATATTTGTTATTGCTGAGCTTCTTATACACAATGGTAGAGTGGAAGCGGACTCCACACCGGATCAAAGCAGATATGCTTAACAAAACTATTCTTAATCACTTAGTTGAAAGTGAAGAGGTGGGACCAGGAGTTAGAGCTCGTCTTGCCCTCCCCACAAACCCAAGGTCATTGTATAGTTTTATTTAGCCTCATTTGTGCATAGCAGTTGTTGGTTGTATTGTACTCTTAGTATTTGTTGGGTCCCCCTATACACATAGTATATATTGGATTCCTTGTATGCATAACATTTGTTGGGCTCCTTGTATGAATGACATTCATCGAGCCGGTTTTACAGTTAATGAATATAATTACGGTACAGTCTTCTTTTGAAGAAGACTGTACATTAGCAACAAAAGTAACGTACAGTACTGTTTTCACATGAATTTCGGTTATATTATAATCATAACTAAGGGCTAAACCCACAAGGGTCATACAGCATTGAATTTAAGTTACATAGGAACTTATGTTCATGTTACTGAACTATGTTACTGAACTCTCTCCAGGTATGTATCAAAATACTGTATGAACATAATGATACAGTACTGTTTATGTGGCTCTAATTAAGTGTGAAGATTCTCAGTAGTTTTGTGTAATTTTGTAAATGATTCAGCTGTTTTGAGCATTTATAAAAGTAATTTTTTAAGTGGATTTATTTAATTAAGTTGTAAAGTACTTGACAGGTTTTTGTAAATAACTTGGAACACATATTAGTCAGGTTTGGGGGAGGGAAAGAAGGAAGAGAAAGTAGTATTCATAAAATTGTTTGCATTGTAAGTTTAATAGGACGTCAGTATCTGCGGGGATATATTCCAACGACCTACTGCGGATACCAAATCCGCCATTAGTAACAAACCCTATACGGTGGTACGTCGAGTTTCGAAAAGCTCCCAATTCGAACAATTATGTACAGTAAGTGTATTTTTGTAAATGTATATTTGGGAGTCTGAAACTGACTAATCTAATTTACATTATTCCTTATGGGAACAAATTTGTTCGGTAACGGCACTCAAACAGCCTTCTGGAACAAATTATGGCCGAAACTCGAGGTACCACTGTATATATGTCTTTTCGTTTACATACTTACCTATTATAAAGCTTAATTGATAAATTGTGCACAATAAGGGGAGAATTATTACGTTTCCACTGATGGGAAATATGGCTTCTCTTATGCTTTGAAGAACTTCCACAGTCACTACTTTTGTACTCTGAGGCAATTAGGCAAAATTAAGGGTTATTTTCGGGCCACAGTAAGCCACGGATACGGGGGTCCTGCTGTATACTGTACTGAGACAGGACAGCATGGAAGCCTCAGTTACCCTGATGTTATTGGGCTAAGTTGTTGTATACTACATGGCTGTGTAAGAGATTAATTATACAATTAGTACTGAAACATAAACATTTAACTAGAACACATATAATGTAGGGAAGGCTTTAGTTATACAGTGGAACCTCGGCTTACGAATTTAATCCGTTCCGTGACCTTGTTCGTATGCTGAGTCAATTTTCCTCATTTAAATTAATTGAAATGCAATTAATCTGTTCCAATCTCTCAGGAGGCATGACAAAATAATGCTAATATCAACTCTATGGCTTAGTTATCTATCACAATTCATCTAATATGACATAATAAACAATATCAGTAACATAGAACCATGATATATACTCTAGAATGAATAAAATAAGCCGTAATAAGGCAGGTGATGGCAATGCAGGCAGCTGCAGAAAGCATCCGCCATTTACTCTCCCACTCTAGTATCTTCCCAGTCCATAACCCCTACACCTAGCTTGTGTTTATCTATGATTAGTGGTGAGGTTGTCACATATGTAACCACAGGTGTGGTCAAGACAGATGCATATATAGGTGAAGATATGATCACCGTGGCCACAGTGGTGGCGGCGGCGGCGGCGGCCACAGTGGTGGTGATGACCAGCTGCCTCACTCTGTGCTGCTGCCTTCTTCGTTTCTCTAGCTTTTTTCATAGTTTCTAATCACTTCTTGCTGAATGTACGCAAATACTGTCTCTTTGGGCAAAGCATTAAGAAATTTGTACAATATAAGACAAAATTACGCATCCCAAGTGTCTGCTGCGGGCACTCAGAGCAGCACACCTCCATTTCCTTTTGACTCTTGGTGGACACTGAGAGCCGTGGTCTCATGGTCTAGCAGTACCTTCAGCCACCCGGAGGATTACAAATTTGTATTTTGAAGCATTAGGCACAAAAATATGAAAAAAAAAATTATGAAAAATGTCTAAAAATGACAACATATTTTTATTATTATTATTGTATTATTATAATTATTACTGTTCTTAGTGTGTATTATAATAATTATTATTAATTTAGGAAACTGGAGCACAGATCCAGTTCCCTAGATCAAGAGCCCACCACCACATACATACTTATAATAATAATTATTATAACATAATAATAACAGTAAGGAGGAACTTCAAAAGGCTGCCAGTAGTTGGTGCCACCATCAGCAAAGCATTGGTAACCACTACTAGTACAGGAGGGCCCCGCTTTACGGCGTTCCGCTTTACGGCGTTCCGCTAATACGGACATTTCAAATTATGACCAAAACTCACTATACGGCTCCCCCCACCTGACTTTCTAATACGGTCACCGTGCCCCACCCTGTTTGTTTACATTCTCCATGAGCTCAGTAAGCACTAAGTCTCTCCATTTTGTCTGGAAACTCCAAAATTTCAAATGTTTTTAAAAGTTATTTCATATTTTATATATACTCTGATAATTATACTTATGTATACCTGTACCTAAATAAACTTACATACATCGAGTCATTTAAATGTCGTATATTACGTTAATATACACATTTTCATTAATCCATCCATGATATTTTTTTCAAAATTATATAATAAACACGATGCATAACATATAAATAAGATAAATACACCCCACAGTAGAATAAATAAACAAATGTGAGATGTGAGCAGACGACTTGCACAAGTGGTGATAATAACAATACTGAGTCTCATTAAATGTCGTATATTACGGTAATATACACATTTTCATTAATCCATCCATGATATTTTTTTCAAAATTATATAATAAACACTATACATAACATATAAATAAGATAAATACACCCCACAGTAGAATAAATAAACATAAATGTGATCTCTGGTAGCAGACGACTTCCACAAGTGACGCCATAATAACAATAGTCACGGAGTCTCATTAAATGTCGTATATTACGGTAATATACACATTTTCATTAATCCATCCATGATATTTTTTTCAAAATTATATAAAAACACGATACATAACATAAAAAGATGATAAATACACCCCACAATAGAATAAATAAACATAAATATAAGATGTGGGAGCCACATAACTTGTACAAGTGACGCCAAGAATAACATTTTCTCTAATCTAACATAAGAGTAAATGTGTTACTGGGGTAACTGTAGAAAATTATTCCTTTCGTATGTATGTAAGTAAATTTATTCAGGTATACACAAATACAGTTACATAGATTATCATACATAACAACATACGTGTAGAGAACCTAGGATAACCCAAAAAAGTCAGTGTGACTTATTTCCATTGCCTTCACTCAGAGCTTCATTTCTTCTCAAAATGATGTTACATGAGAATGGGAGTGTTCTTCTTTATTAATTCTACCGTATCAATGTAGAGACAACCTGTACACAATGTAACTTGTACACAAACCAGACGTGTACACTTCGTTTGTTTACAAAACTTACCTTCCCCTGGTTTGTTTACATAACTGCGCCTGCCCCCTCTCATGTATTCATTCTTTCTCTCTCTCATTTATTCGTTTTATCTCATTTACTTACTCCTGACCCTACATTAAGACTACAAATATTTTAAGGTAAGTAATGAGTGAACTGTATATACATTTTATCGCTCTGGGATGCTTAAATATCATAGAATAGTATGTGTGGGTGGGGTGGCCTGGTGAGGCTATTACAATACATACCACACTTGATTTCTTACAATAAATACTACTTGTCTCACCCTAGATTAAGACTATAAATATTTTAAGGTAAGTAATGAGTGCACTATGTGTGTATTGTACCTTTTTATTGTTTTTTGATGCCTGGTTCTATTGCTAACTTAATATATGTTAGTGTAAACTTGTTATCTAGTGTTTGTATGCATTTATAAGTGGAAAAAAAGGGTGTTCCACTTTACGGCGATTTCCGCTTTACGGCGGTAGCCTGGAACCTAACCCGCCGTATAAGTGGGGCCCTACTGTACACTTTTCACCTGTCTAGACTTAGTAGTCTATTAATATTTGGTTAAGTCTGCCCGAAATGCCTCAGCATGATAGTGGCTTTCTTTGCTCCAATCTTATATGTAAACACACATTGTAACCTTTGCAAAGAAATAAATATTTTATTTATTCATTTAAGGAACCTCCCTTGAGGGGGAAGTTCGCATCCTGAAATTTCGTTCGTATCCTGAAAAATTCGCATGGTGGGGCGTTTGTAAGCTGATGTTCCACTGTATCTAAAGAAATTTGAGAATAAACAGTTAAGGAAAAAATATTTATGTACAAGGAATGAAGATGGGAAATATATGACCTATTTTTTTTCAAATGCCATCCATCTGAGACCTAAGATGGATGACAAAAAAAAAAAGTAATTTTTCACTCAGTAGCTTTGTAAATATTGCAGACTTTTTCATATACAAGGTCATAAGTGCTTTATATGAATAAATGGCATGTTAATCTGTTTATGTATGAGTATCTGTTTCTTTGAAAAAAAATGTCTGAGATAGCCTTAATAATAGCTAGAAATTTCACATGTGCTATAAAATAAAAATATAATTCTACTAGATCAATAACTGACATCGGTTTAGTGCTTTCTCTGATTATAGTAACTGACAAGCTCTAATTATATTCAGGAGGAAGTACTATATTCACACATCATAGCACCTGGGGAATGGGAAATAATCAGGTTTGATCCAAGGAAGGGTAGCTCTAGTTCCTTGAATCAAGAGCATGCCCGTCCTCCCTAACCTGAAGGGTAACAAATTCAGATGCAGATATTTTCTCTGATCACTTTATACAACTTCAGTTTTTGTATTGATGAGTTTTGACCGTATTTGTTATCTTTAGTTCATAATTTTTTTGAAGTGATTGCAGCTAATGTTTCTGTTCAAGTCAGCTTTCACTCCAATGAGTAATGAATTATAGTAGTCAAACTATTATTATAATTTTAACTAAGCACTAAACCCATAAGGGTTACTATAGTAGTCAAAATAAAATTAAAATTCTGCTTCCATAGTTGATGCTCTTTATTGTAACTTCAATAAGGAGTTGTATTTTTTTTTTTTGTTTTACGAATCTGGTGACGTAAATATTTGTGTATAGTTCCACAAGTAATTATACACAAATGTGTATAGTTTTACAAGAAACCTCAAGATTAATCAAAACGTAAAAAAATGTTTTACCTCATAAATGAAATTATTTTTGTTAAACATAGGTACATTTTCTGTTGTGGGTTTAAAACTCGTTTATAAAGCACAATAAAAATGTTTGAAGAGCATCTTTTTACTCTGTTATGTATTTTATTTGTAATATTTTGTTTCAAATACTAAATTTAGCCTTTTTCTGATATTAGGCTTCATGTGTTGACTGAAATAAGTATGGCATAAAAAGACATGTTTACCAAATGTGCTAATTTAAATATTTATATAGAGGTATTTAAATTCAGTATTTTTTATGGCAATTTACTATTACAGTTTTCATAGCAATTTACTTTTATAGTTTCAGTAAATCTTGTATCAAGTTTACTTTTAAATTAAATTGTTTGGCCCAAGTCTTGCCCAAAATGGTATGCATTTAGCTGGTTTCTCAGATGGAAAAATAAACTATAGCTCAGTGGTCAGAGGGTTCAGCTGAAAAAAAAATGGAAGGTCCTGGATTCCATCTTCAAGCTGAGCAATATTTATGGGCAAATCATCTTTCACTTACTGTCTGTTCACCTAGCAGTATACAGTTACTTTGATGTTGGTCAACTTGTGGGTTGTATCTATGGAGTATACTGTTCACCTAGCAGTATACAGGTACTTAGATATTGGTCAACCTGTGGGTTGCATATAGAGGGTATACTATAAAAAGGGCCAGGCTTTTGAGCAAGGTGTGGTAGACAAAAGCATTTTGACTGTCGAGGTACTCTGTAAAATGAAATGCACATAAATCTACCTATACAGTATAAACCCCATATTAAATATATGTACAATATAATTTTATTTATCTGTATTATCATACTACTTAAATAATCATGTTTTTTGTTTAAAAATTTAGCACTGATAAATGGAGTGAAAATATTTTATATTCTGCATATACATATGTCTACCCAGTGGGTAATGCCATACACTTACCCATTAATTGTATAAAATGTACAATACTTGTATTAATCAAAATGTTTAATACTTTCATTATGTAAAACTGCTTTACATCAAAGCTAAGGAAAACCACTTGCAATCTGTCAGACTAGGGAAGAAACCATTTAAGCTGAAGAATAAAACATAGGTAAGAGAGAGTTCTGTATATTTCAGCCTCAGTCAGAAAAAAATCAAATTATATTAAATGTTTCACTCTAAATACAATTGCTACTGCCAAGTAACATAGAAGCTCCATAGTACGATTTTTTTTTTATTTCAAAAGTTATTTCATCTGCTTATATTATGGGGCACATCATTATGAGTTAAATGTTATGCACCTCTTTGGGCAGAGTGCTTCCCCCTCATGACTGTAATACTGTATAAAGTTACACTTCCCAAAGCTCTAGTAGATATTAAAGAAGTGCTGGGGTATGGAAAAATATTAATAGCATAAAATTAAGTGCTAAATCTGAAAGGGTCATATACTGTTGCAGGGAGAGCGAGCAGGAGTGTTCATGGGAGGATGCAAGAGCCAGGGGCATGGAAGAAAGTAGTAAAAGCTTCATTATATTCATTATAAAATGTTACCATTAAAATATCTTAAGTGAGTCAGTGGAGATGTAGTCTAAGACTGAAAAGTTACCAAATACTTGAACTTTTTAATGTTCTTATCACTATAAAGAAACTGCACAGATGAACATTATAATAGCTGTCACTAAGAAATTATGAGAAAGCATTTGTTTTGCTAAAGATGGCTGTGCTGTATGACCCTTGTAGGTTTAGTGCTTCTTTTTGATTATTATAATAATAATTTACTAAAGATGACATATGGGGTCCAGGAGAGTCTGCAAGACTAGGTCTAAAACCTCAACTAAAAAAAAAAAGGTGTAATATTCAACTGTATTTTTTATTTTAGACAAACATTATTATTATTATAACAGCTAAATCCCAAACAAATTAATAACTTTTCAAGAGGCAAGAGAGAGAGAGAGAGATTGATTCAAGCAGAATGCAGAGAATGAGGAAAGGCAACTTTTAATTTTCTTATCATTTCCAAAATTTATAAATTCTCAAATTCCTCCTCTAAAATAGCATGGCCTTCACACTGAGCTCGTTTCACCTGGAAAGAAAATACCGACATTAAATAATGATGAGCAATAATGTTAATATTACAAGGAAATGGTAATTAGGATTATTATTATTATAATCAAAAAAGAAGCGCTAAGCCACAAGGACTATACAGCGCTGCAGGGCAGGAAGGAAGCGAGGGCATCAGGTGGCAAAAGGGAGATGGATGAGTAATAGGTTATGGATAACAGCGGGGTAGTGGATGGTGAAAGGGTAGAGGGCAGCAAGAGACTGAACTAGAAAGGGCTCAGGGGAGTGCGAAAAGTATCATCAGAGTTTGTGGAGTAAATCGGTCGTTGTCAAGAAGTCAATGAGAGAGTCAGGATTAAAGGAGGGTCCATCAGCAAGAAGGGAAGGTAAAGAGAGAGTAGTGAAGACGAAGACGACGTTGGAGGTAAATTCTGCGTGCTCGTTGATAGAGAGGGCAGTCTAACAGAATGTGGCTAATCGATACTGGAACTTGACACTGCTCACAGAGAGAACAGGGTGCTCTCCATGAGATACCCATGAGTAAGACGAGTGTGGCCAATGCGAAGGCGGGAGAGAGTGGTCTCCCAACCTCAGCACTGATGACAAGAAGAACGGCCAGTAACCTATGCTCGGTTTAATAGAATGAAGTTTGTTACCGAGCAGAGTTGACCAACGTTGTTGCCAACGGGTGCGAAGGTGGGTAGCTATTGCAGCAAAATAGTCCAGAAATGGAACACCTTGATAGGAAATTGGTAGGTCATGTACTGCTGACCTCGCAGCAGTGTCTGCCTGTTCATTGCCCTGTACGTCGACATGACCAGGGACCCAACAAAAAACAATATCTTTATGTTTGGTAGAGATACGGCGTAGCCAAAGTTGGATACGGAGAACTAGGGGATGAGATGTATCAAATTTTCGTAGAGCCTGTAGAGCACTAAGGGAGTCTGAGACTACTACAAATGATGACACAGGCATAGATGCGATACGAATAAGTGCTGCAAGAATGGCATACAGTTCAGCAGTAAAAATGCTAGCTGAAGATAGTAAATGCCCCCGCACGACGCTGTCCGGAAACACTGCTGCGAATCCGACGCCGTCTGAAGATTTAGAGCCATCTGTGTACACAGCGGTGGCATGAGAATGGGAGTGGAAGTGATCAAGAAAAAGAGAGCGGGAAGCCACCGTAGGCAGTTGAGCTTTCGAGTAAGGGAGTGAGAAAGAACAGACCCGAACAGCTGGAACTTCCCAGGGGGGTAGGGAAAAGTGAGATGCTACATGAACATATAAAGGTGGTAACTGAAGGGAAGACAAGAGTGAATGTAGGCGAAGAGAAAAGGGATGGAGCAAACAGGGCGGCGAAGAAAGAATAAAGAATGTCTACTAATATCGGTGACCATTCTATAAATGGAAGGATTGTGGAGATCGTGAGAGCGTACATAGTAGCGAAGGCAATGGGCATCACGGCGATCAGACAAGGATGAAACATTCGCTTCTGTATAGAGGCTCTCAACAGGGGAAGAGCGAAAAGCACCAAGGCACAAACGTAATCCTTGGTGATGGATAGAGTTAAGGCTAGAGAGAGTAGCAGGAGAGGCCGTGGAATAAATCTGGTCACCATAATCGAGTTTCGATAAAACGAGGGCTGAATGTAGGAGAAGAAGAGTTCGACGATCAGCTCCCCAGGAAAGACGAGCAAGGGTTTTAAGAAGGATTAGCCGGCTGTGACAAGTTGCCTTCAGAGAGGTAATGTGAGGTTTCCAGGATAACCTACGGTCAAATTATTATTATAATCAAAAAGAAGCGCTAAGCCACAAGGGCTATACAGCAACCTACGGTCAAAGAGAAGGCCTAGAAACCTGACTATCACGTTCGGGGATACGGGAGCCATAGAGATACAAAGGATGATTGGAGATAACAGAGCGTCTAGTGAAAGTAATTTGGTGAGTTTTGGTACTTGAAAATTTAAACCCATGCGTGGTGGCCCAAGTGGAAACATGGTCGACCGCATGCTGGAGAGAAACTGCAATAAGATGACAGTCAGCGCCTGCACAAGTAATAGCGAAGTCATCAACATAGAGTGATGACCAAATATTGGGTGGAAGAACAGAGGCCAAATCATTTATAGCAAGGAGAAAAAGTGTTGTGCTTAGAACACATCCCTGAGGGACACCTTCAGCTTGGACGAAGTCCGGGGAAAGAACATTATTGACTCGAACACGGAAATGTCTGTCAGTTAAAAAGTTCTTAAGGAAGGATTGTAGACTGCCTCGGAGGCCTAAGGAATGGGCCTGGGCCAAAATATTATACTTCCAAGTTGTGTCACATGCCTTCTCAAGGTCAAAAAATATGGCAATAACTGAGCGATTATTCGCAAAGGCATTACGAACATACGTATCCAAGCGCAGTAAGGGGTCTATGGTAGAACGACCCTTACGAAAGCCATATTGACTAGCGGAGAGACTGTTGTGTGTCTCTAAATACCACATTAAACGTCGATTTACGAGACGTTCCATCACTTTGCAAACTGCACTGGTAAGAGCGATGGGACGATAATGGGAGGCATCATGTCCTGTAGTACCCGGTTTGCGGAAAGGGAGAACAATGGCAGATTTCCACAGCTGGGGAAGAACTCCTTGTGCCCAAATAAGATTGAAGAGGTGTAAGAGGACTACAAGGGCTGACCGATGTAAATGTTGTAACATACGAATATGAATGTCGTCAGGCCCAGCTGCTGATGATCGGCAAGCTGAGAGCATTGCCTCCAGTTCTTGAAGTGTAAAAGGCACATTATACTGTTCTTCTCTGAGAGAAGAAAAGTCCAAGGGTACTAACTCTCTGGCAGACTTTGAGGAAAGAAACGAGGGGCATAGATGGAGCCCTCGGGAAATATGGACCAGATGTGTGCCAAGTTCAATGGCAACGTCGAGAGGGTTTGCTACATCAACACCAGTGACCCGTAGAACAGGAGCCGGGTCAGGAGAGTATTTACCACTCAATTTCCTCACTTTTTTCCAGACTGCACTCATAGAAGAAGCAGAGGTGATGGTGGAAACATAGTCTCTCCAACAAGTGCGTTTAGCTTCACGGATGACACGGCGAGCGATCGCACGCTTCTGCTTAAAATCAAGAATGTCTTCAGCGGTTCTATTGTACTGGTACCTGCCCCATGCAGCACGTTTCAAACGTACTGCACGAGCACAAGCAGGAGACCACCAAGGCACGCACTTCTGAGAATGCCTGCCTGAGGTTTGGGGTATAGAATGAGAAGCTGCGGTATAAACTGACGTCGAGAAGATGTGTAGGAGCTCATCAATGGAGGGTGAAGAAGGAACCTCACTAAAAGCAGTGAGGTGTGAGTAAAGATCCCAATTTGCCCGATCAAATTGCCAGCGAGGGCTACGGAAAGGTGTGTGAATAGGAAGGAGAAGTAAGAATGATCGGAAAATGATCGCTGTCATGTAGTCTGGTAGAACAGACCAGGTGAAGTCTAGTGCAGTGGAGGAAGAGCAGACTGATAGATCGATGCAAGAGAGAGTATGAGTACGAGGATCAAAATGGGTGGGAGTGCCCGTATTTAAAACATGGAGGGGGTGAGAGGCGAGAAAAGCCTCCAACTGGATGCCACGTGAGTCACAATGAGACATCCCCAGAGGAAATGGTGGGCATTAAAATCACCAAGTAACAGAAGTGGTGGTGGTAAGGATGAAACAAGAAAAGCAAAGTCTGGGATAGAAAATGCTCGAGGAGAGAGATATAAAGAACATATTGTAAACCACTTATTCAAGTGGATACGGGCTGCAGTGTAATGCAGCGAGGTATGGACAAATAGTTGACAGTACGGAATATCATTGCGTAGAAGAAGGGCACTTTCATTAAAGGTCCCATCGGAGAAAGGATCCGAAGAATACAATAAATCATAGCCTAAGATAGGTTGGAAAACAGCCGAGTGTAATTTTGGTTCTTGTAAGCAAGCCAACAGGGGAAAACCTGGAAAGCAACATCTGAAGCTCACCCTGATTACCCCTGAGGCCGCGGATATTCCACTGTAAATAGGCCATGGTTGGCGATGAAGAAAATACCAGGAATCTGTAGGTAAAGGTACCTACGGACTAGAGGGTTAGAAAAGTCAACGTTGTGTGGCATTGGAAGACGTTCAAGTAGCGAAGGAACGGAGCGTTGCGAAGAATGGGGTTGTGAAGATGGAGGAGAGGGAAGAGAAGGAACAGGAAGTGAATCAGTGTCCATTGAAGGTTTAGTCTCTGCAATATATTCTGAAATGGCTTCAAGTGTTTCTGAATTCAAAGATGTATGGGAGACCATATTGGAGATAGGAGGAGGGTGAGTAAAGATTGGGACAGTAATGGACTGTACCAAAGTAGAGGGGGAGGGAAGAGTGTAAGGGACTGGAGATGAAGTGTGGGTGGGGGGACAGAAGAGGCAGAAACCTGGGAGGTGGCAGAAGAGGGAGAAACTTGGGAGGGGACGGGGGTGGAAGGCATAGTACGAGGAGGAGGGTGAATCTCCACACTTGTAATAGAGCCAGGGAGAAGGGAAGAACTAGGTACAGAGACTGGAAAGGTAAAGTGTGGAGGTGGAAGAAGGGAAGGAAGGGGCAAAGAAGATTTGAGCAATGTGGATTTTTTGGACTTCTGAGAAGTAGAGGGGCGATTGGTATTAGGTGTCGTACGAGGTCTTGTCGATACTGGGGCTTGTGAGGAAGGACGCGAAGATGTGAGAACAGACTGAGTTGTAGTCGGGACGTCAGAGCCAAGGACAGCAAAAAGATTAGATGCCGTAGTGGCTATGGGAGGGGTAACAACAGAGGAGGCTGCAGAAGATGGGACCCCAGAAGTGGGGGGATGTCTGGAAACACGAGAATAAGAAACACGGGGTAGTCTCCCTTGGAGGCGGAGATGAGTAACTGCCATAGCATAAGGAGACCTTCTGCCTCTTTGAGGCAACGGATTTCACGTTCATTTAAGTAGACCTGGCAACGGCGGGAGTACGAAGGGTGAGCTTCATTACAATTAAGGCAAGATGGAGGTTGACTGCAAGATGTATTAGAATGGTCGTCGGCACCACAGACTGGGCATTCGGCCATAGATCTGCAATATTTCGCTGGGTGGCCAAAACGCCAGCAATTTCTACATTGTTGCGGTGTAGGTATCACCTTTCGAACTTGTAACCGATGTCCCGTGACATATACAGAGGACGGGAGTTCTCGGCTGTCAAAAGTTAAACGAGCCAAATTGCAAGGGTAACGTCTCCGGCCCCGGGCAGGAAGGACATAAGTGTCTACTTTGAGGATTGGGAGATCCTGGAGTTCCAGCTGTTCAAGAATGTCATTGCCACATGACTGGAAATTCTGTTGGACTATGGTATGGGGCAGAATGACAGTACCACTACAAGAATTGAGAGAAAGATGTTTTTCAACAGTGATAGGAGTAGTATCAATATTCAAAAGGAGAGAAAGATCATGAGCTTAGGTAGCATTCTGGACAGTGATGATGCGCGTACCGCTCTTGAGAGCATGAAATTAAATATCTCTACCAACATGACGCAGGAGCGCTTTGCCAATACTATGGTCAGAAAGGTAGGCAGAAGAAGTCGGTCTTAAAGTAAAGAATTTAGTCCATTGTGTGGTCCGAAACTGAGCGTGGAGAGGGAGTGCTTGACGTGTTGGTCTTTTCCGAGTAGAATGGGAAGGTAACGAAGGAGCATCATCAGGAGATTGACGTTGGCGTTTAGGAGTAGGACCGGAGTTGGTCCGGCGTGAAATGGGCGGGCGATTCGAAAATTGCCGTACCGTAGAGGGAGAAGCCGGAAGCATAGTCAAAGGAGAGCGGAGTTCAGACAAATCGAAGGAGTCAGTTGAAGCCCCGGTACCTGAAGCAGGTGAGGAAACAGCACCAGCAAGAGGTACAGGGGCATCAGGAGTGTCCGAAGAGTGGTCTAAACACAAGGCAGGGTCAGAATGGGGTGCGGTATCAAGAAGGGGCCTGGGGGTAGTGGGTTCATGGAATGGGTTCTCCATGGTTAGGTTACTCCTTTGCTTTTTGTTTTTAAGGAAAAAAAAGAAAGAAGAAAAGAAAATAAAAATAAAAAAAGAATAAAAAAAGGGGGGAGTGGGGAGGAATAGTTCCCAGGAGGAATGAAAGGGCCGGAAATCTCCCTCCGCGCCCAAGAGGACCTCAGCACCGCTAGTAACGCAGATGCAGCATGGAACCCGTGCCATACCCTACCCTTCATGCCAGTAAACCAGCAATCCGGGATAGCAACCTCACATATGCCGAGCTACCTCGGTGGACAAAAGAGAGGGCGGCCGGATATCCGCCACAAAGCATACTTCCTTCGGCCACCACCCCCGGAATCTGAAAGGTGGCTTCCAGAGATACACCCGTCGCCCGAAAGACACCCAAAGCTACTCCAGGATTCCGGAGAGGGATCGGGACATCCCCAGGCGATCCAGATTCCACGGCAAACTACGCCACCGCCAAGAACCTCAACGGAATGGGATGGACCCCGGTGTCCTTTCCCCTACCTAGGAACTAGCGCGCCTGTGGGAGAAATCCCAAAGGCCAAAAAGAGGAAGGGCAAAAGGGAGGGGTGGGGAGTAGGAGGAGGAATGGAAAAAGGGGAGGATGGGATAGGGGAGGGGAGAATGGGGGGTAATTAGGTTCGGTCTGAGGAAGAAGACCGACAGGGCTAATTCCTCAGACCAAGAGCCTCTTCACCATGCCAAGGAGCCCCCCTTGAAGAGGATAAATCTTGTAGAAACCAGTTAAGAGGCTTTTCTTACCCACTACCTCTCCCTGTTTTGATCGGTATTCTAATACATCTAAAATCCCTGACTGTTACAGATGACATCAGCAAAAGTTTTCCCCCTATTCTGATTACCTCCTACTCTTGTGCATGACTTTACCAATCCCAATGGCAATTTGAATCTGCAGCTTGAATGTGTTTATGCATGACATACTTCTTTCCAGTGTACCCTGTTACACCACCTTGGTTCACTGCAATTTAGTTTGACATTCCCAGGCTGCAGATACAGGAGGCTGCTATCTTTACAACCATGCAATTATGAGATGACCTTAACCATAATCAATCATTCCTGGTTATATTTTATTATCTGAGAAATAGGTAAAAATTTTTTTGTAGATGAATGGTTCAGAGAACCGACATGTTGTTGAATTAGACAAAATTGATGGACAGACCACATCGACTCAAGGCTGAGGGACTGATTACCTCATTCTCCTCCTGTTCTTCAAGTTTCTCCTTTGTATGGACTGATGAAGCCACTGTGTGGTGAAACGTTTCCTCAATAAAGATACCCAAGAGTTGCACATGTGTCCAATTCAACAAAAAATTTTTTTTTTGGTGAATTCATAATGAAAGGGCAAGTGTAATATAGGAGGCCTAGGGATGTTATTACTGAACAGACGAAATGTTGCTTTAGTGGCTGGACTGTATAGTGTTTATTTTAGACTTTTTATATTGGATTTTTTTAAATTGTATAAAACTGGCCAAGTTACTGAATTCTGTGCACTTTTAAATGGAAAACGGCAAATTTAATACCTATTTACAAGGCAGGTGACAGGTCCTTAGCTTCGAACTATAGGCCAATAAGCCTTACCTCCATAGTGGGAAAATTTATGGAATCAATAACTGCTGAAGCAACTTGTAGCCATCTCGAATGGCATAAATTGATTAATGAATCTCAGCACGGTTTTACAAAGGGGCGTTCCTGTTTTACAAATTTACTAACTTTCTTCACTAAGGTATTTGAGGAGGTAGATCATGGTACTGAATATGATACTGTGTATATGGTATTCAGTAAGGCTTTCGACAGAGTTCCACGTCAAAGGCTATTGAGGAAACTTAAGGCACACGGTATAGGAGGAGAAATTTTTTCCTAGGTAGAGGCATGGTTGACAAATAGGCAGCAGAGAGTTTGCATAAATGGGGAGAAATCAGAATGGGGGCACGTCACAAGCGGTGTTCCACAGGGGTCAGTGTTGGGCTCCTTGTTGTTCACAACTTACATAAATGACACAGATGAGGGAATAAATAGCGACATAAGCAAATTTGCTGATGACACCAAAATAGGCTGTCCAATTCATTCTAATGAGGACATTAGAGCACTCCAGGATGATTTGAATAGACTGATGCAGTGGTCGGAGAAGTGGCAGATACAGTTTAATATAGACAAATGCAAAGTTCTAAATGTTGGATAGGAAAATAACCATGCCACATATAAACTAAATAATGTAGATCTTAATATTACGGATTGCAAAAAGGATTTAGGAGTTCTGGTTAGCAGTAATCTAAAACCAAGACAACAGTGCATTAGTGTTCGCAATAAAGCTAACAGAATCCTTGGCTTCATAGCAAGAAGTATAAATAATGCACTGGAAAACGTACAAAGGAGGATGACAAAGTTGATCCTATGTATCAGAACTCTTCCCTATGAGGATAGACTGAGGGCCCTGAATCTGCACTCTCTAGAAAGGCATAGAATTAGGGGGGATATCATTGAGGTGTATAAATGGAAAACAGGAATTAATAAAGGGGATGTAAATAGCGTGCAAAAATATCTAACATAGACAGGACTCGCAGCAATGGCTTTAAACTGGAAAAATTCAGATTCAGGAAGGAAATAGGAAAGCACTGGTTTGGATGAGTGGAACAAACTCCCGAGTACTGTCATAGACGCTAAGATGTTGTGTAGTTTTAAAAATTGGTTGGATAAATACACGAGTGGGTGTAGGTGGGTGTGAGTTGGACCTGACTAGCTTGTGCTACTAGGTTGAATGCCATGCTTCTCCCTTAAGTGACGTGTCTGACCTCACTAGGTCAAGGCAATGGCTTAAGCCGGTGGGAGAATTGGACCTGCCTCGCATAGGCCAGTAGGCCTGCTGCAGAGTTCCTTCTTTCTTATGTTGTACTCAACAGACAGAACAGAATGTCTACTGGGAAAATAAGTAAAAATCTGGTTGAACTGAGTAATGGCATTGGCTTAAAATGCGACTTAAGTGGGAAAAAATTGTTGATGTATAAAATTGTGCTCAGACCACCAACTTTGCACCTGTATAATTCTGTTAAGTTTTTCATCAATTTCATATTTTTGGTGTCATTATCTTCAGAAAAAGATTCTTTACCACTTCAGAATATATATATATATTCTTAAATTCCTGACATTGTCAGCACTTTTAATTTCAGGGCTTCTGAGAGTGAAGGGATTAATTGCCTTTATAAGAGCAAAATCTATTTACTCACCTCTCTGTACTGAGCATGGATGAATAACAGATAGACAGTTTCAATAACACCAAGGATGATCATAGGTGATAGGAGCATCAGTACAACCAATGGCATTAAAGCATAGTAGATGATGCTAAACACAGACAATCCAAGAATCGTACAAAAACGGATGACGCTCCATATCATGTATGGCACCATCAGTTTGAATCGTTCCTGAAAAAAAAAAAAACTGCACAATCTACTTATTTATTTACATCTTAGGTGATTAACCCTTAAGCTGTCCAAACTTAGATCTACGTTTGCACGTCCTGCTGTTCTCCGTACCCTACTAATCATTCCTCTCCCTTTTGCCACCCGATACCCTCACTTCCTTCCCTGCCCTGCAGCGCTGTATAGCCCTTGTGATTTAGCACTCCTTTTTGATTATAATAATATGTTTGCACGCGCAGCGCTCCGAACGTAGATCAATGTTTTGTTTTTTATTCCTGCAAAATTGGCACAATATGTTTGAGTCACCTAGACATGAAAGAATGGGTCTGTGCACTTAGTGTGTGCAGTATTAAAAAAATCTGGGAGCACATAGTACCTTGTGGGGAACACCAGTTCAATTGAGCACCAGCTAGAGCAAACAGCATGGCAAACACCAGGGATTCACTGATGTCATGTTGCATTAACACTCCCATTTTAAGACGAAAGTAAAAATAGGTTAGATAAATACATGAGTGAGTGTGGGTGGGTGTGAGCTGGACCTGACTAGCTTGTGCTACTAGGTCTGACGTCATGCTCCTTCCTTCAGTGGATGTGACCTGACTAGGTGGGTCATTGGTCTAAGCTGGGGGAGGGTGACATGGACCTGCCTTGCATGGGCCAGTAGGCCTGCTGCAGTGTTCCTTCTTTCTTATGTTCTTATGTATTCGGCCAGCTGGCTGGCTTGCTTTGGCTGTCTCTGGCTGTCTCTGTCTATACAGTGGACCCCCGCATAACGATCAGCTCCCAACTCGACCAATTATGTAAGTGTATTTTTGTAAGTGCTTTTGTAGGTGTATTTTTGGGGGTCTGAAACGGACTAATCTAATTCACAATATCTCTTATGGGAACAAATTCGGTCTATAACGGCACCCAAACAGACTTCTGGATTGAAATAATATCGTTATCCGGGGGTCCACTGTATCTCTGTCTCACATGTACACACAAGTACAGTTATTATACATAGTGCAAATTACCTAGGATAACCCAAAAATTCCAGGCAAAGACAGATAGATAGATAGACAGATGGACAAACATGTTTGTGTGTATCAGTGAAAATAAATAAAGCCAGGGTTCCCCCCCAGTGCCCATTTATCAAATGTCATTGAGCTGGTAACAGTTGTCATATCACCATTCTTCAAGGAGAGTTTCATATATGTATACTCCAGGCAGACAGATAAGCAGAGACAGACAGGCAGACAGATAGGCAGATAGATAGGCAGATAGACAAAGACAGATAGACAGACAGAGAGACAAGACATGTTTGTGTGTAACAGTGATAACAAATACAGCAAGGGTTAGCTGGAGCAGTGGGCATTTATCAAATGTCACTAGGCTGTCAACAGTATAGGGATGCCTTTCATAACAACATGCTCCAAGGTATATGCCAGGGTTTCTAAAATATTGCTGGGACCTATAATTTTTTTTTTTTTTTTAACGTCAGCCATCTCCCACTGAGGCAGGGTGACCCAAAAAGAAAGAAAATCCCCAAAAACAAAATACTTTCATCATCATTCAACACTTTCACCTCATTCACACATAATCACTGTTTTTGCAGAGGCACTCAGAACACAACAGTTTAGAAGCATATAGGTATAAAGATACACAACATATCCCTCCAAACTGCTAATATCCCAAAATCCCTCCTTTAGAGTGCGGGCATTGTACTTCCCATTTCCAGGACTCAAGTCCGGCTATATAAAAATAACCGGTTTCCCTGAATCCCTTCACTAAATATTACCTTGCTCACACTCCAACAGATCGTCAGGTCCCAAATACCATTCGTCTCCATTCACTCCTATCGAACACGCTCATGCACGCCTGCTGGAAGTCCAAGCCCCTTGATTACAAAACCTCCTTTACCCCCTCTCTCCAACCCTTTCGAGGACGACCCCTACCCCGCCTTACTTCTACAGATTTAAATGCTCTCCATGTCATTCTACTTTGATCCATTTTCTCTAAATGACCAAACCACCTCAACAACCCCTCTTCAGCCCTCTGACTAATACTTTTATTAACTCCACACCTTCTCCTAATTTCCACACTCCGAATTTTCTGCATAATATTTACACCACACATTGCCCTTAGACAGGACATCTCCACTGCCTCTAACTGCCTCCTTGCTGCTGCATTCACAACCCAAGCTTCACACCCATATAAGAGTGTTTGTACTACTATACTTTCATACATTCAATTCTTTGCCTCTGTAGATAACGTTTTTTGACTCCACATATACCTCAATGCACCACTCACCTTTTTTCCCTCATCAATTCTATGATTAACCTCATCCTTCCCCAATTTGATATCCAATTTTTCTTTATCCAAATCATTTGATGCCCTCATCACCTTACTCTTTTCTATGTTCACTTTCAACTTTCTACCTTTACACACACTCCCAAACTCATCGACTAACCTTTGCAATTTTTCTTTAGAATCTCCCATAATCACAGTATCATCAGCAAAAAGTAACTGTGTCAATTCCCATTTTGTATTTGATTCCCCATAATTTAATCCCACCCCTCTCCCAAACACCCTAGCATTTACTTCTTTTACAACCCCATCTATAAATATATTAAACAACCATGGTGACATTACACATCCCTGTCTAAGACCTACATTTACCAGGAAGTAGTCTCCCTCTCTTCTACACACCCTAACCTGAGCCTCCCTATCCTCATAAAAACTCTTTACAGCATTTAGTAACTTACCACCTATTCCATATACTTGCAACATCTGCCACATTGCTCCCCTATCCACTCTATCATATGCCTTTTCTAAATCCATAAATGCAATAAAAACTTCCCTACCTTTATCTAAATACTGTTCACATATATGCTTCAATGTAAACACTTGGTCTACACATCCCCTACCCACTCTGAAGCCTCCTTGCTCATCCGCAATCCTACATTCTATCTTACCTCTAATTCTTTCAATAATAACCCTACCGTACACTTTTCCTGGTATACTCAGTAAACTTATTCCTCTATAATTTTTACAATCTCTTTTGTCCCCCCTTCCCTTTATATAAAGGGACTATACATGCTCTCTGCCAATCCCTAGGTACCTTCCCCTCTTTCATACATTTATTAAACAAAAGTACCAACCACTCCAACACTATATCCCCCCTGCTTTTAACATTTCTGTCATGATCCCATCAGTTCCAGCTGCTTTACCCCCTTTCATTCTATGTAATGCCTCACGTACATCCTCCACACTTACATTCTGCCCTTCTTCACTCCTAAAAGATGATATACCTCCCTGGCCAGTGCATGAAATTACCGCCTCCCTTTCTTCCTCAACATTTAAAAGTTCCTCAAAATATTCTCGCCATCTACCTAATACCTCCCTCTCCCCATCTACTAACTCCCCTACTCTGTTTTTAACTGACAAATCCATATGTTCCCTAGGTTTTCTTAACTTGTTTAACTCACTCCAAAATTTTTTCTTATTTTCATTAAAATTTCTTGACAGTGCCTCTCCCACTCTATCATCTGCTCTCCTTTTCACTCTCACCATTCTCTTCACCTTTCTTTTACTCTCCATATACTCTGCTCTTCTTATAACACTTCTGCTTTGTAAAAACCTCTCATAAGCTAACTTTTTCTCTTTTATCACACCCTTTACTTCATCATTCCACCAATCACTCCTCTTTCCTCCTGCACCCACCCTCCTATAACCACAAACTTCTGCCCCACATTCTAATACTGCATTTTTAAAACTCATCCAACCCTCTTCAACCCCCCCACTACTCATCTTTGCACTAGCCCACCTTTCTGCCAATAGTCGATTATATCTCACCTGAACTTCCTCCTCCCTTAGTTTATGCACTTTCACTTCCCTCCTACTTGTTGTTGCCACTTGTCCCATCTACCTCTTACTCTAACTGTAGCTACAACTAAATAATGATCCGATATATCAGTTGCCCCTCTAAAAACATGTACATCCTGGAGCCTACCCATTAACCTTTTATCCACCAATACATAATCTAACAAACTTTCATTACGTGCTACATCATACCTTGTATATTTATTTATCCTCTTTTTCATAAAATATGTATTACTTATTACCAAATCTCTTTCTGCACATAGCTCAATTAAAGGCTCCCCATTTACATTTACTCCTGGCACCCAAAATTTACCTACTACTCCCTCCACAACATTTTTACCCACTTTAGCATTGAAATCCCCAACCACAAGTACTCTCACACTTGGTTCAAAACTCCCCACGCATTCACTCAACATTTCCCAAAATCTCTCTCTCTCCTCTACATTTCTCTCTTCTCCAGGTGCATATATACTTACTATAACCCACTTTTCACATCCAACCTTTATTTTACTCCACATAATCCTTGAATTAATACATTTATAGTCCCTCTTTTCCTGCCATATCTTATCCTTCAACATTATTGCTACTCCTTCTTTAGCTCTATTTGAAACCCCTGACCTAATCCCATTTATTCCTCTCCACTGAAACTCTCCCACCCCCTTCAGCTTTGTTTCACTTAAAGCAAGGACATCCAGCTTCTTCTCATTCATAACATCCACAATCATCTCTTTCTTATCATTTGCACAACATCCACACACATTCAGACTTCCCACTTTGACAAGTTTCTTCTTATTCTTTTTACTAATCTTTACAAGAAAAGGGGTTACTAGCCCATTGTTCCCGGCATTTTAGTTGACTTTTACAACACGCATGGCTTACGGAGGAAAGATTCTTATTCCACTTCCCCATGGATATAAAAGGAAAAGTAATAAAACCAAGAACTAATAAGATAAAATCAAAGAAAACTCAGATGAGCGTGTATAAATAAACATGTACATGTATGTGTAGTGTGACCTAAGTGTAAGTAGAAGTAGCAAGACATATCTGTAATCTTGCATATTTATGAGACAGACAAAAGACACCAGCAATCCTACCATCATGTAAAACAACTACAGGCTTTCGTTTTACACTCACTTGGCAGG